GCAGAGGGGGTTAACAGGACAGCATGCACCAAACCAACCCGCAGCCACGTGGCCTAACAGGCCGGCAAGGAGCACTGCCGCAGGGCCACCTCAGCCCGCTCTGGCTCCGAGTCCCTCTGGCATTGCTGAGTTAGTGTAAACTAACTGACTCCTCCTCCAAGGAGTACCCTTGTTTCTTCTCACCTATCTGCACTCTCTAAGGGCTGTGGGTGAAGGCAGGTAGGCAGCCACCTTCTCCATCCCTCCCTTCTGCTTTGTCTGCTTTCCACCAGGTTCTGTCCAAACAACCTCTCCGGCAAAGGGGGATGGGGAGCCCCAGACAGATGATCTCAATGGAAGGAGGAGAGCAGAAGGAGGAGGGAGCTAAACATCCTGACCAGAAAGATGCTCTCCGGACAGTCCCAGGCTGGAGAGGGCTGTGTGCCCACTCCCAGGAGCGGGCTTGTGATTCGCTTGTGCAGCTCAGAGACAGGGTGAGTCCTGGCCATCTCTTTATTTGGGGCCACATTGGGTGGAGTTTGAAGGCCCCTGGGATAGAGTCTCAGCCACCCTACCTAGCACCCCAGAACGGTAGTCACCTCTCTGCTTCAAGGGTCCACGTCCCCCTATTCCTCATGAGCAGAGGAGGAGGTGGGCTCAGGAGGGGGGATGGGGGCATCAGGGAGACACTCTACAGTTACTGCCCACGGGACCAGCATATCTGCCCACGATCAGATGTCCCTCTGGATCCCTGGACTGGTCCTGCCCCTGAGTGAGAAGTAGTGGTTTGAGTGCTAGGCCGGACTTCCTAACTGTTCTGGTCTCATTTGTCCCCTATGAACATTTTAGTGTGGGGCAGTGGGTTTTAAAAAGTGAGGGGAGGGAGACTGTGGATTAGGAGAGGAGACCCTGCAGAGGAAGAGAAGTGGGGAGAAGGGGAGACTGGGTGGGAGGGAAAGGCCTGGGAGCAGAGAAGAGTTTTCCTGGGGTGGAAGGCAACTTCAGGAAGTTGGAGTATGGCCCAGGCTGAGGAGGAGGGGTGAGGGGAGAGAGAGAGCCAGCCAGTGGGTGAAGAAGAGGATTCCTAGGCTTTCTGTAAGAAGGGAGAGGAGCTACAAACCAAGAGGAAAGAGGATGGCAGCAGAGACCCAGCCCTTTGCACAGAGCCTGCTCTAAGGACCAGGCCAGGTAGGGATGGGAAGGCTTTGCCCCTGCTCCCAGACCCTTAACCTAGCATAGCAGCCCACCGTCCTGTTGAATGAAAGTGGTTCAAGTTGACTTTCCCCCAGGCGCCCCTCACACTCTGGACTGCGGGAGCCAGTCTGCTGTCCCTTCCCATGCTGTGAAGTGATGACTCCAGATTCATGCAGCCCTGCCTTTGGATTGACCTTGGCAATTTCCCATCCATGTCACCTTGTTTGTATGCATACTTAATGCAGCAGAGCCTCAGTTTCCTCCTCTGTTAAAATGAGAAAGGAATGCACATTTCAGGGCTTATTCTGAGGATTCGATAGGCTGATGGACATAAAATACCTAGTTCAGTGCCAGGCACAGGATAGGTCCTCAATAAATAGAGGGTGTTCCTATTGGCCTGGCCAACTGTCATTCTCTAGCCTTTTCAGGAGGGATATGAAAACTACCAACAAGATCTGGGCAGTGGGAGACCACACAGTGTGTGCTGGGGGGGCAGGGGTAGCTGACCTGCAAAGCTAAGAGGGCTCAAGGAGGAGGTGTCAGAGAAGACTTTTATCTTTTGCCTGGAAGACAAATCTTTGCCCTGGCTGGTGGGCCAAGGAAGACAAGTCAGGCTTGACCTGATCTTTGGCAAGAAGCCCCCAAGGGCACCTGGCTTCAAATGTCCACCCTCTCCTGGCCTATTTCTAACGTATGCAAGTGTTTGCCAACACTTCCCATCCCACCATTGATAAGTCAGGTAAAGAAGAATTAGGTAAAGGAATGCAAGGATACAGAGGAAGCTTGGGACAGACCATGACTGAGTAAGATGGCGAAAGGACAGGCATAAGTCAGTCATAAAGTTACCCCCTGCTTTTATCATTTGAGTCCTAAGATGAGGACTGCCAAGGGCTACTGTCAGTCATCTTAAAGGCTATATGAATCTTTAGACAAACCCCCAAGCTATGCTTAAATACCTCCCGGGATGGGGATCTCATTACCTGCAGAAACTCAGCCTTCTGCACTGCTCTCTATCTTATGCTGGATCAATAGCTGCTCTGCCTCAGATCTCAATATTTTGCCTTGGGGCAGAATGGAACAAGTCTGATCCCTCTCCTCTTTAGCCACAGTCCCTGCCACTGTATGGGCCAACAATTGGGACATACACTTCCCCTCCTGGATGAACATGCTCTCTTCCTCTGCTCTTTTGCCCTCCAGAGGGACTCTCAATCTGTGAGGCAAACAGTCTCTATTTCCCTTGTCCCTAGTCCCTTTGCCATTTGTTTACAAGGGATTTGTAAAAGCCCTTGTAAGCAGAGGCAGCTGTAGTTGGGATAAAGGTGACCCTGCCTGGGCTGTAAGAGAGAACCCCAAGTAGCCTGGCTGAGTGTCCAGTGTCCCTTCCCCCGTCCCTCCTGGACTCTCCAGGTCTTATTGCCAGAGGAAAAGAAAAGCTGACACTAATCCCCCACCTCAAGCTCCTCTACTCTCCTACTTCAGCTCATCTGTCCCCACCACCTCCACCCTTTCTGTCATTTTTTGCCAAAGGTCTCCTCAGTCCTACAGGAGAATGGAGTCCTAGGCTAGACGCCACAGGGACCTCCCCCACAAAGTCTATGTGTTGTGTCAGGGTGTAGGATATGGGTCTCAGTTGGGCATCCCTTCCCCAGCCCCTTGGAACTCTCATCCCCTGGGCATCTAGAGCCACTCCTAGAAGGTGACTGGCACCCTGGCATCACTACAGTACCAGGAATCCAGGGATGACTTGAACGTGGCAGCCTTCAGAGAATGAATCTGTAAAGTGGGGGCAAGCCCCCTACAGAGCCCTGTGCCCCCAAGTGCCAACAGAAAAGGCCACAGAGACCTAGTGGGCTCAACCTCCAGTCCTGCATCCAGCTGACCAAGCTGCATCCCAGCAGGCACTGCCTGCTTCTCTCACCTGAAGTATTTGGATGGCACCTCTACCCCTGAAAGATGAGAAAGAGGCATGGGGGCGCTGTGTACAAATCAACATGAGGAAACCATACTAACACTGTAGGTGTGGGGCTCTGGGAAGTGGGGATAATGACATGCATCTTCTTGCCCATGGACAGCAGGTCAGCTTAGGAAAGATCTGTATTTGGGGAAGGGTCTTGGTTCCAGTCATTAGCTGTGTGACTTTAGGCAAATGATTTCCCTCTCTGAAAAACTGAGCCCTTAAGGACACATGAGTGAGTGCCTCTACTACATCAACACAGGACAGGTAGGGGAGGGAAGGCAGGAACCTGGGCTGGGGCATGTTGCTGTGTTGTTATACCAAGTGCTAGACCAAGCACTAGGTGTGGGCTGTGGGAGGAACAGCACACTTGGAGCCCATTGCAAGATCCCGTCTTTGTGTTTGATGCTGAATGTAGCCTTAAGCAAGCTCTAGTCCTCAGTTTCCCTGTCCGGACAGTGATGGGTCCAGGTATTCCATGGAGCTCTCCCCAGCTCCTTCTGGCCCAGATTCCTATCTCACTGTGGCCATCCCAGGGGCTCAAGGGAGTGGAGAGGCAGTGGGGATTGTCGTTCTATAGGTGCCTGTGCCTTAGTTGAAGGACAGAGGAAGCCAGTTGCCAATTCTGGGTATCAGGTAAGAGTTAGTCTTTCCTCCAAAGTCAGCCCACTCTGCTGCCATAAAACTACCGCCCAGGTCCCAAGTAGGCCAAAGGATATCAATATAAGGAAATACTTAAGCCAAACCCATCTCAGAAGCCAGACCTAGCCTATGTCCTCCTCGTGTCCTTGGAAAAAAGCCTGATGAGGAAGATGCTGCTGGCCTAGCTGAATTTTAGAATCCTGTATTCACTCTGGAAGGAACCAAACAGACTTCCCAATGCTCCATCCATGTCCCTTGCCTCACTTTCCATATCTGTTGAATACAGAAGCACCCTCCTGAACATCCCATTCTTGGGAGAACTCTGGGCTCCAGGGATATCTTTATAAACCAAAGTCCATTGGTCCTGCTGAATACCAGCTGCCTTGGCTTACCACTGCTGCCTCCTTTCTGGTATTTTGCTAGGGAAACAGCTGTAGTAGTTTTAGGTTTTAGGTCTGCTGATCCTCATGGATTCCTGGCATTCCTGATCACCAGCCATTGGTAAGGGCCTCTAAGTCATCAGGGAGCAGACAGAAAGGAGAGAAATTGTTCAGTATTTCCTTGCCATTCAGCAGCCATTTGAAGTTTTTCTCATCTGTCAAGCCTCCTAAGCAAAGTAGTGGGGTGGAGGGGTGGTAGAGCCTCCAGCCAGAAAGTTGGATTTGACTGTGAACTTCTCAAAGCTGATTCAGCACTATGCAAACAGGATCCAGAAGTACATATGTGGATGTGACAGGAGCAACCTCTCCCCACCAGCCACTCTCCTCCAGGAAGTTAAACGAGAGAAGATTCTGACCAGCTGTCATCTATTTTTCTGGAGTCCAGAGACTGCGTAAGAGCTGCCTGCCTAGTCAGACACTGTTGAGAGGAGGAGTGGCCCATCTGTCTGTGGAAAGAACAGGCAACATCCCCAGAATAGTCAGCCTTGGGCGCTAAAGGGTTGTCTTTATTTTAGAAATAGCCAAGAGCCTCCCAGAAGCAGGAGTTCAACCACCCTGTCCCTGGGTGCTTCCCATGACAGGTAAAGTCCCCCAAGGCTCTGGGAAGGTGAGGGGGTGAAACAACTGTAGATGAGAGTAGAGTAGGTTGACTTATAAGGTCTTTGGATGACAGATCTGGCTCTGTCAATGGAATTACCAGAAAAAAGAGCACCAGGGGTCCCCTTCAGGCTCTTGGCAAAGCCTCCGCATGTCCTACTCTGCACCTCTATAAAAAGCCACACTCGAGAATGTTCAGGGGAGACAGTGTGTTTATTGCAGCCAACAGATACAGGCAATCACACAAACTACAGAAGAAACTCGGTCTGCTCTCAGAAGCAGATCCATCCCAGCAGTCAGATCACAGAGGATTGATTAAGCTTCTCTCCCCTTCCAAACACCCCTTCTAACCACCACACAGCCCGTAAAGCCTAGATGTGCATAAATTCTTCTCATGCAGCTGGATTTCCCCCTCCAAGTGCACAAAAAGCAGTAAAAACATTCCATAATTTGCCTTTGGTGAATCAACTCAAAGCACTGAGAAGTGTTACCCCCTGTCCCCGCAATGTAACTTTTGGGGTGGGTGTAGTGAGATGTTTTATATTTGTATATATAATATATCTATACCTATATAGAGAGGCTATGTACAAATGCATCAGCAAGCTTCAGTAAAGGAAGACATCAGCAAGCGGCACAGCAAGGGACAGGCTTAAGACACAAGTAGGAAGGACGATTCCTTGACTCATCATCCCTTCCTGTGGCCTAGGACTATCTTTTTGAACCTGGCCAGGATTTCCACTTGTCTACCTGCTTATGCTTAACTTAGCCTTGTAAATATTTACCAGCCCAACCTCCCCAAGGAGACTCACAGAGAAATATACAGATCCCATCAGCTTTTCGATTTTAGAAAGTGGGAATAATTGTGGTGAGTCCACAGCTAGAGGGGCAGATAGCTATTTCCAAAGCCAATTCCAAGGCACCTCGAGGCATTTCAGTCCTGAAAAATTGTGCTTTGTTCTTGTAAGCTAAATCCCACAGATTAGCCAGCCCATTTCCCTTTGCAGTGGCCCTTAATTAGAAGGAAGAGACAGATGGGGATGATGGGGTTCTGAGAGAGCACAGGCAGAATCAACAGACTGAAACCAGCAGAGCGCAGCGGTGGGGGCATGCAGCCAGAAGTGGGGCTTGAACCCCACACTGCAGGAGAGGAACAGCTTGCTGGCATAAGCTCAGAAACAGGACAGAGCAATGGCTGCTGTGCAAACATCTCACTGGCTTCCCACCTTGACTCACAGAAGCCCCATTTTGCTCCCAACCTCAGTTCTCTGGGGGGAGACAGCTCCAAGTCTTCTGGAGAAGGATCTAAAAGGCTCAAGAAGGAAGTGCATGTGAGGCCAGGCACCTTGGACAAGGACAGCTCGGGCCCCTGAGGGCCATGGACAGGCACTGCTTTTCCCGGGCCCCACCTGCTCAGGGCAGAGAGAGAAGGACAAGGCCTCAGAAGTTTTAAGGAGAGTTAGGACTTTTTAGAATGAACCTAAGGAATTTTGTAAATAATCCCTCTAAATCTTATGAGTCTTGGAAAAAGAAAAATTCCCAACATCAGCGCAGATCCTCACTTACCTAGGAGGGGAGGTCACACACGAGGTGACTAAATACTGAAACCTGTCAGCTGCAGCAGTGTACACCACCATCCTTGGTCTCCGCTGGCTCGAGGTGCCCACCATTAACCTCTCTGGCCCCAGCTGGTTGGCTTGAAGGTTGGGGCAGTATCCACCTGCTCTGGGCATCCTGGTGGTTTAGCCCACCCCAGTTGGCAGTGTGTCGATTGGCAGCTAGGTACTGAGCTGATGAGTTTAGATTTCCCGAAGGGCTGGACTCGACTCACCCAGGATTTCTCTGGCTGGTTGTCCGTCCCTGACTCCATACCTACTGTGCCTGGCCCCTGCACCCATTAGCACTTGTACCTGCCCTCTTCCTTTTCCAAGGCCCTGATTCTAGAATCTCTTCCTTCTCCTCAATTTTCATCCTAGAAGCAGTGGTTATAGAGGTGGAAGTAGATAGACACCCAGATAAAAATCAATCTCGATCCTACAGTGCTGACCTGGCAGTCTCCAACTCTGTTATGGCTTTGTGTGTGTCCCCGGCACCAAGCACAGTGCCTGGCACAGAGCAGATGCTCAGTAAATGGTTGTTGAACTGAAGTGAATTGAGCTGAATCTCCCGTACACTACTGCCCTCTCTCCCAGTTGGCTATCTGATAGGTAAAGGCAGGGACTGGTCTCCGAGACCATGGTCATCCCTTGCTACCTCCATCCTCTGTTCCCAGGCTCATTCCCTGCCCTGGACACCTAATTCCCTGAGCTGCCAGGGGCTGGGCTCCTGGGAGAGGAGCAGCGCTGAGTGAGCACCCTCACCCTACCTTCTTCATCCTCATCCACCAGGCCCTAGAGGCCCACCCACTGGGAAAACTATGGCTCTGTTGATTAAAAATGGAGGTCCAGGTGCTAGAGAAGGAGATCCTCAATCTCCCATCACATGGAACCTCCACTTCCCCTCAGCTCGAGAGATCTGGCTGACCTCTGAAGTTTCTCTGAGTCAGCAGTTTCTGATGCAATCTTTCTCCCTCTCCCCAGGCTTAAAGGATTCCATTTTAATGTGAGTTAAATGACAGTGAAAGTTGGCTCCCACGAGTGTTACTTTCTTCCTCACAAGAAAACCTGCTTGGAGCAGAGGGGCAAGGGAGCAAGTGACAGGCTCCAGGTGGGCCTAGGCTGGCCCCAGGGCTCCGAGGCTCCCTGACCCCTCTCACACTTCTCTCCAGCCTTCCCATCCTCCGTCTTGCCAAAGCCAGACGCAAACCTTACTGAGGGCAACTGGAAAAGTCTAAACCCATGCGTAAATCTTGGTTCTGCTTGGCCCACGTGAGGATGCTGGCCCTGTTACAGAAGGCAGCCTGAAGTCAAGCCCGTTAATGACAGAGCCCCACTCGTCAGTCCCTCAGCCAGCTCTGATGCCAGTCTCCCAATCCTCAGCAGGGGAAGCAGGACCCTACCTGGAGCTGCTTCTCCAGTACTGTCTTCAGCAACATCCCCAAGAGGTCAGTAGCCAGTAGCAAACCAAGAACCTCCTAGGGGAGCAGCTAACAACAGAGATGAAGGCTGGAATAGAGCTCCCCAGGCCAAGATTTGAGCCAGGTTTGCCTCAGCCCTAGCTTTCTTCAGTGTCCTAGAATTGTACAATCATCCCTTTAATGTGCCCTCCCTCCAAATTATGGACACCCTCTCACCCACAACCTGAGGGCTGCTCTGGGTTGGGAGGAGCCCAAGGGGCACGGCAAGGCCACAGCCAAGGTCTTCTGAGGCAGCTCGGGTCAGCACAGCAGAGCTGCCCTCCCCACCCCAGACCCACCCCATGCAGCAGGACAGCTGAATTCCTCCACACTGCCACCCTCACCACCCTCTTTCGGGAAGCCCCAGACATGCCTCCTGCCTCCTCTCAGGGTGGAGCCCCTTTCTCCTCTCCCCAGGGCCACACATCCTGGATGCCATGGCAGGTTCTCAGATGGAAGAGAGGTGGGTCACTCTTGGTGCGGGGTGTAGGGTACGAAGTGAGGGGTGCAGGAGCTCCCAGCTGTGCCCTGGGGTCCTGTTCAGGAGAAGCACACCAAGAGAGGGCAGGCAGGGTCACACGTACAGGGTGGAGAGTGGGCGGAGGCGAGACACAGGGAGGGGCCGCAGGGATGGCCCCATTACTTGGCACCGTCATCTGCATTGCCCTCGCCATCTGTCTTGCCCTCCTCCTCCGTCTTCAGGTCATCCGTGCTTAGCTTCTGCTCCTTTTTCCTCCTCACACACTTGACCACCATCAGCACCAAGATGACCACAGCTAGGAAGCCCCCCACGGAGGCACCCACAATGACCGCCACCGTGGAGTCCCGCTCAGGGAGCTCTGGGGAAGGAGAGAGAGCACACCCACTGAGACCAGGGATCGAAAGGGGGGCCCCCTCTGGCACCCCTGTTCCCCTACATAACATGTCTGGGGGTGGGAGAGTCCTGACTTTACTCTCTGGATAGGACTTCAGCCAAAGGCTAATACCAAATCAAGTTGAGGAGTTGTTAGAATGCAGTACTTCAGAGCATGGACTTTGAGATCAAAGAGACTAAGTTTGAGTCCTGGTTGTACAATTTATGAATTGTGTGACCTTAGGTAACTTAGCCTTTCTAACCTCAGTTTCCTCACCTGAGAAATGGGGATACTAATTGTACTTCCCTTATGAGCTTTCCATGAGGATGAAATGAAATGCAGCATACAGAGTTTACTTTGAAATGAGACGTAGTAAGCATCTAATAAACGAAAGCTACCATTATTATTAAGGTTGTGACCATGGTCAGTATCATTCTAAAGACTCTGAGACCTGTTCCCTCAAGGGCCAGAGGGAAGAGAGTGGGCGCCTTCCACTCAGCTCAAGCTGTACCTCCACGCTCAGGAGAAGACAGCCTCCCACATGCCCTGGGCTGACACTGTGGAGAGGCTCAGGGCCCCAACCCTCACCTTCCAGGAGGACCTGCAGGTAGATCTTGCCATGGCCCCGGTGGCGGTCAGGCGGGTTGGTGACATAGCAGTTGTAGATGCCCTCATCCTCCAGCTGCACACTTCTCAGTGTTACTGACACATCATACTTGCTCGGGTTCCCGGAGAACTCCACACGGTCTCGGAACCGGTCCAGCTTCAGATTAATGATCTTCATGCGGAACTGGAGGAACTGCGGGTTGGGATAGGGGACAGGGTGGGCACCTGGATGCCTGGGGAGCTACAGGCATAGTGGGCAGGCCAGCTCCTCCCATGCACCTGGGAAGAAAGGCAGTTACCCCCAGAAGGGCCACCGAGATGTGGCGTATGCCTGGTGTCAAAGTCCTCTGCAGCAGGCGACCCACCCAAGTCCTCTGGAGCCTTGCTCCCAGAAGGATCAGAGATGGGAAAGATGACCTCCCACTACCCTGGCACTCACCATCTCCTCGGAACAGTTACTACATTCCTGGTACGTCCAGTTCAGGGAAAACTGCTTGTGGTTCACGGTGTAGCAGGAGTTGAAGGTGCAGGACAGGCGGGCATCAGAGCCATTGAGGATACTGAGGGTGGTGGGGACTGTGACTTCCATGCTCTGCCCTGATGGTGCTGCAGACAAAGTCAGGAGCTGATGAGGGTTCTAGCCGACAGGGCTGGGAAAGGGCAAGCCCCTGTAGCCAGTGGGGAGAGGAGAGAAGAGGCAGAGCCGGGCTGTGGGCAGCCACCTGGGGCCCCTACTGCTACAGCTAGACAGGAGGTGGGGTTTGAGAGAAACAAAGCCATGAGTGCTCGGTGTGGTCCCTCGGGTCAATGGGCACCAAGCAATTGAGAATGAAGAGAGACCAAATGGTTTTTCAAGCCAGGAACAGCCGGATGGCTCCCAGCCTTTTCCAAGACTACTGCTGGGTAGCCCTTCTTCCTGCCCCTGTTCATTTGCCTGCTGAATGGGAGGTTTCACTGTGCTGGCCTCAGTTTCTCCCTTTGTCTCCATGTCTTCCTGACCATCTTTGCTGGGCCAAAGCCCTTCCAGCTGAGGCTGTTGTGCCCGCCATGGGATAGGTAGCCGAGGAAAGATGGGGACAAAGGAGGCCTCACTTGCTTTCCATACCTAGGGACAGGGCAAGCAGTGTCCTAGTACTGCCAGCCCCAGTCTCTGATGGGCAGGAAACAGGGCAGAGGCACCTTGGGAGGAGAGAGGTGTCCCAGAAGAGGCACTGTTCTAAGGACCAGCTGATGGGCCTGCAGGGACAGCAATCCATTTTGAAGAAAGCAGTTGTGGAAACACCACAGCAAGGAGCTGACACAGGCTGATAAGTGCCAGAGTGGTAAGCACGGGTCCTATAGGGTCCTGAGAGAGGCCCTGATTTGGACCAGGAGACACGAGGGCTGAGCTGAGAAGGGCCTAGCAACTCCAGCATTCTGGGCAGTAGGGGGCCTATGGGAAGCAAGTGATATACGAAAGACACAATAGTCAAGGAGACACCCACTTTCAGGGTCACGAAGACACCTCCTTAAATGTTATACTCGGGCATCTCACTTCCTCCACCTTATCCTTGACCCTGATTCCAAGATTCTCGGCCAATATTACCAAAGCCCCATCCCAAAAGATTGACTGAATATTAACAGGGCTCAATGGAAGAGTGCTTACCTAGCACGCACAAGGCATGGTTCAATACCCAGCGCCACACACACAATCATTAGCAGTAACATTCAGCATCATTCATTTACTCATTTACTAAATATCTGCAAATAACCTACTATGTGCAAGGCACTTAGTCTAGGCCCTGGAGGTCACCATGAAGCAGACACGGCTTGTATTCTGGGGAGAGGGACAAACAGTAACAAGGAAAAGGGAAAGAATGTGAATGTAGGGAGTGATCCACGGCATGGGCTCTGGGGACTGAGACAGGCAAGGAGAAGTGGTTTTATTCCAGGTGGTCTGGGAGGCTGCTGTGAGAGGGTGATGTCCAGCAGCGCCCAGCTCAAGTGAGGGAGGGGGCCATTTGAAGTTTTCAGGGAACTGAGATCCACAGCAAGGGGAACACTGAAGGCAAAGTCCCAGTGGCCGGAACGACCTTTATGCATCTGAAGTGGAACAAGCAGAGGGGGCCAAGGGGTGAATGGGGAGGCCTGAGGTCAGAGCACAAGGCGGGGACTGGGCCAGAAAAGAGCAGGACAGAGAGTTAGGATGCATGCTTCCCAGTATAACAGGAAGTCATTAGAGGGCTCAAGGGTGGATTGGGGGAGGGGACCAGGCTGGAATTACAGCCCTTGATATGTGGGCAACATATACAGGAAATCGATCAGACTTGGATTCCATCCCAGCTCGGCCGCCATCTGCTGGCAGAAGGAAAATAAGTAAGTTCCTCCACCTCTCTATGCCTCAGCCCCCTCCCTCTAAAACGCACCAGAGATACCCTTCCTGGGGTTGTTATAATAACAAATGGTGGCTCTTATTATCTCGCATTCTCAAGTTCTGCCTCATGGGCAGGAAAGGCTTTGGAAGGGCAGAGAGTCCCGGTCCCAGGGAACATTGGAGACCGACCCCTCAAGCCTTGGGATTCTCCCAGATCTGGAAAAGGAACCAGGCTTCAGGGCCCCTACTCTTCAAACTGGTTGCACAAAGCTTCTGGAGCCTTCCCCAGAAGCAGCCCTGCATCCTGGGAATGGGGAAACCCAAGCCAGCTCAGAGCATCCTTCTGTTCAGCCTGTGTCTCCAGAGGAAGAGGCAGGGCCAGGAGGCAGGACTTCTGGGCAGGAGATGCGCTGAACTGCTGACCCCTCCACCTGGGCAGTGAACCTCACCCTCAGGCAAGGGTAGCAGGTACACACTAAGTGTTCATAGGAGAGTACCAACTAGGGAGGCTGAGTGGGCCCCACAGGAGGAACAAAGCCCAGTTCCCGTCCCCTGCAGTTTCATATCCATTCTGAAAGCGGCTGGCCCAGCACCAGGCAAGGAGGAGGTGTGCAGAAAATACCAACACCACCCCCACTCTGCAGAGGCAGAGAAATCTGCAGGAAGGAGCTTATGGAGGCTTGTCCTGAGTTTACCTTCTGTCCCAGTAATGCCCTGCCTCTCTAGCCCCTTCCCTTGGAAAGGCTGCAACCTTCTCAGGGCCACCTGAACAAAAAGGAAGAGCTCTGCCACATTTGGCTTACCTCTTGGATTCCACCCTCCTGGGGCCTCTGTCCAACCGCAACAACTCCAGGCAGCATTCTAGGTTCAAAATTGAACCCCACCCAACAGTTGTCTCCATTTTTAAGGGGCTGGCACCCTACCACTTCGTAAGAGGACAGAGCCCTAGGGAGCATGAGGCCTTTCCTAGCTGTCTGTGGGGCAAAAAGAGGTGCAATGTGGGCTCCTGTTCATGCTCCCTGCCAGAGCCACCAGGCTGGAAAAGGGTGCCCTCTAGCGGTCACAGAGGTCAAGCATCACCTCCCTTCTGCAGAAAGGAAGAGGGGGTCACCAAATCAGAGGATGCCAGAGCTGAGAGCATTTGTATTTTACCTCAGAGAAAAGAGGGACCATGAGGGAGAGACACAAATAGGAACAAGATGAGGCCAGAACCAGGGCTCCTGACTGCTGTACTGAGATGCAGTTGAGGGCCTCATCAGAATCTCAGCGGCTCTGCGATGAGAGGCCTCGGGTCTTCTACAGATCCAAGACCCCATTAAAGATCAGGAAATCTTTGCTCAAGGTCAGAGATGTGAGCAGCATCCTGGTCTCTTGACTAACTCTGTTGCTTCAGGGAGGCAGAAGATCCAGGCCCACAGGGAGGCCTTCTAATAGACTCAGAAGCCCAAAAAGTGCTGACGAGGGGGAGGCACTGGATCAGCACTCCGTGCACATTGCCTTGTCTATAATCCCAGTGACCCTGTTTTCTCCCCCACTTTCCAGGTGAGAAAGTGAAGCACAGAGCTGTTAAACAAATAGCCCAGATTCTCAGCTAGTACATGACAAAGCTAAAATTTGATCCCCTGTTGCCTGGCTCCAGACGGGAAAGTGGTCGAACCAGCATGGGGATGTGATTGTCATTCCAAAGCATCCCAGGGGACAGGTGTCCTGCAGTCTACATGACAGGCACAGGCTTGAAACTTCAGGTCCCCAGCTCCAGGCAGGCTGCCCAGCAGGCAACGGTCTTGTTTAAATGAAACTCCCCAAAAGAGAGCCCATCACTTTCCTATAGTCCCCTTGGGACAAGACCTTCAGTCTGAGTCTCCTGATTCCCATCTCACAGAAAGGAAATCATCAACAGAGATACAGTAAGAATGTGACTTCTCTTAACTCCAAAACATCACTGGTGCTGGGTACCCTCTCCAAGGTACACGTGTCCCCCCCATGGGCCATGAGTCACCCATTGTTCTACCTGGCTCATCTTGCAGAGATCATGAAAATTTGCCCATCTGCCTAACACTCTTTCAGAGACTGGAAGTCAGTTCCCATCACTCCTCTTTCCAACCCTCCATCCCCATCCCTCACATAGCCAGGATCAACTGGGGCTCATCATTCTTCACCTCCAGACCTCCAGTGGTGCCCTGCTGCTTTTAGGACCAAGTCCAGACTCTGGCACGGAGATGGCACGACTCCTGAGCCTTCTGCCACCTGGGACCAACCTATACCCAGTCTCATCTCCTGCCAGCTCCCATCCCTTCACTTCAGAGACCCCAGAGTTCTGACTCTTCCTACAAACACTGCCCTCTTGTCCCCTCAAGGTCCCTGCACATATGATTTTGCTGCAGGATGGGGAGCTCGTTCACCCTCTTCCCTGGAGTTCTCCCACATGTCTCTTAGATGCCAGCTCATAAAGCATAGCCTCCGTGCCAGCTTTACCAGCATCCTGCCCCGTCCCCAGTCCTGTTCCTCTCTTCCCTGTGCTTCATTTTGATTTGGACGCAGAGTAGTGTTTTGACCAAGACAAGGGCTCTAGTGCCTCATCTGATCTTAGGCAACATAGGCAATTTTTCAAGTCTTTTTCTCATGTCATACAGGAGACAATAGGACCTGCCATCTGGGGACCCCGTGAAGATTAAATGACTCCTACATGTATAAGGCTCAGCACATGCCTGACACACAGCCCTTGACAAAAGGTAGCTGATCTTATTACCATTGTTGCTGATATTAGTACAGCACATAAAATGTTGTATTGCTATTACTTGTGACCCTCAAGAGGCTTTGAGGAACTGACTCTTACTCATCATGGTATCCCTGGCCCCACAACAATAAGTTCTCAATAAAATTCTGTTGAAAGCCATCCATGGATGCTTGTAATCCCAACACTCAGAAGGCTGGGGCAGGGGATCACTGTGAGTTCGAGGCCAGCCTGAACTACACAGTGAGTGAAACCCTGTCTCAAATAACAACAATGACAACAAAAAAATTTGTTGGCAGAAAGGAAAACATTTCCCCCTCTATGTCCAGGTGCCTCTCCCCGGGCAGATATGCACAGTGGGCCTGAATGAGGACCGGACTACCCTTTGCAAGCCTCCCCTCTCATAACCTAGACTTTGGTAACCAGGACCATAGCTGCAAAGTCAATAGTCTTCAGAAAAACTCCAGGAAGCCCATGCATTCAGAAAGTTTCTCACTAAAAATTAGACTCCTGTGATCATGCCATGGTTGCAGCCAGTTGTCCAGCCTGCTCTTTCTCTTCACCAGTTCTCCAATCATCACCACAGGCCCCACCCCGGCAGTCCCCTCCCTCAGCATCTGTGGCATCCCTTCATCCCAGTGACTGACATTTCTACGACCACTGAAGTCTCATTGTCCACGCTGCTCACAGCCTTGAGGTACCAGAGGCTATCAGGGTCAAGTTCAAACTCCTCTGCTTGGGTTTGGCGCGGTTTTAGCTTCCTCCGCCTAACTCTCACAGCCTCTACATCCAGATATCTTTATCTCAGGCTCCCAAGTTTCTGGTCCTGGTCACTAAGCCCCTTGTTTTCTTCACTTAGAAATGGCTCTCACAAGTGCTCTTCCTTCTCACAGAAAGCTCTTCCTAACTCTTGAAGGAAGGTGTCTATCCTTCAGCTCCAGGCAACTCGCCTAACCCCTCCCCCACCACCACCTTTGCATACACTTAGGATTCTTGGGTCAGTTACTGTTAACGTGGCAGCACTGCTTCTTGAACATTGGGGGCAGCAGAGTCCAGAATTTAAGTCCAGCATTTAAGTCCAGCATTTGCCAAAGCCAGATACACAGGAGTTCAAATCTCAGCTCCACTGCATGCCAGTCATGTGACCATATTGGGCAAATTACTTGTCTGTGCCTCCATTTCCTCCTTACAACATGCACATAATAATTACATCTTCCAATAATTGCTGTGAGAACTAAATATAAGCTCTGTGCCTGGGCTTAGGAAAAGCCCTCCCCTCTGCTTTTGGAATTCCACCAACTCTCACATCCTTTCAGCAAAGTTAGCCATTGCTGACTGCCATGTGCAGGTTGCAAACACAACAGAAGGAGGCACTGTCCAGTTTACCCATGAGAGACTGGGAGGTTCATGGGAGCTGAGTAACTTGCCTGTGGTTATTAAGCAATAACCTGGGGTTGATGTCAGTCAAGCTTCTACAACATTTCTGCTCTGTTAATATGCCAGCTAACTCGGCAAAGCTAAGAGACCTTATGGTGCAGGCTGCCAGGGCCTCTGTGTGACTCTGGTTAGCACTCCTACCCAATACCCAGCACATCGTGCCAGAGAGAGAGAGAGAGAGAGAGAGAGAGAGAGACTTTGTGACAAGAAACATTCCCACTGGCCCTCAGTCACTGCAGCAGCAATGAGTAAGTTTAGGAGCAAGAATGAAGCTATCTATAAAATAGGTTCCATAGAACTTTCTAGCCCACCTGCCCACCAGAAGTCTATGAAATTCACCTTAGGAGCCACTTTCCAGGACCACGAGCCAGATGGAGCTGGACAGTTCTAAGACTGCTTTCAAAGGGCCCCAGCCTCACTGCAGCCCAGGGTTCCTTCCCTTCCCCTGAATCTTTTCACCTGCCCCCTCCTCCCTTCCCTCTGGCCCCAGCTGGAGATGCCTTTAGCACCCTTGCCTGTCTCAGCCCTCCTCTTCCCCACTCGGGGATTGCTCCTCAAGCCTGCTTCCCACCCGTTCTCACACACATTCTGACAAATCAGGGGCACAGACTTTCAGGACGCCAGACCCAGGCTCAACTTTCAGCCCCCAACTCTCCAAAACGCTGTTTTTTAATTCCCTAAAATCCACCAGATTTCAAGGATCTAGGTTCACAAAAGAAGTCCTTCAAGGAAGCAGTAAGTCTCAGGACCCTACACCCACAGCAGTAAAAAATAAAATTTAAAAAAAATCCACAAAAATTCAGCATATCGCCCTTCCGGCTGCCCCACCCCCGCACAAGGGTCCACTTAGGGAAATCCAAGAAAAATCACCTCCCTTGACAAATTTCACCCGCAGCAACACTCAGACCCCGACCCAGCATTTCAGTGACCAAGTACCCCAGCAGTATGCGGTCTGGCGCTGTCCCTGCAGTCCCCTGCACCTCCCTTCCCAAGGACACGGAGGGAAGCGCTAACGGTGCCGCTCTTCCTTTCTGCCCCCTACCCCCCTCCTCTTCCAGTTGTTGCGCCTCAGAACCCTCGGGAGCATGCAGATGTGGGTCTAACTTACCCAAAGTGAAAAAGAGACTGAGCCCCGTGAGACTGAAGGCAGGGCGAGGTAGCCAGGCATCCCTGCGCATTTTCACAGACTGAGATGTTAGGTGAGTGGGCTAGGGGAGAGGGGAGTTCGAGAGACCAAGGACTACAGGGGAGGAATGGTTAGATGCTAAAGTAGAAAATGCACGGATGTACTTCAAAGACATACACAACATCAAGGAAGCTTTATTTCCATCTCTCTAATATGGCCGACCTGTATGTGGCTGCTAAAAAGGGGGGGTGTGTAACGGAGGGAAAAGGGGGATAGAGTAAATACTATGGTTGGTGGATTTCAAAAGGCAAGTGGGAGGGCATAAAAACGTCTTTCTGCAAAAAACAAAGTTGCCAGACATTTTTGCCCCCTGAAACAAGAACTAAAGCAAATACTCCTTCACTTGGAATGATTTTTGGATTTTAAAAACTATTAGAGGAATCCATTTATTTCAAAGCTGCTATAAGGGGAGGGGCTTTTTTTTCATTATTTAAAAAACATACCCCAAAAAGGCCAAAAAAAGGAAATATTTGTTTTTGTGTCATTTTGAGAGGGTTCAGGCAAGTGAGTTGGAGAAAATTTCAGGAAGTAATGATTTCCTCATTATTCTAGCATTTCCACCAAAACAGAACACGCAAAGAAAGCTTGTGCAAAAACATCAAGAGATTTTACGTAAACCCTTGGGAGATCCTGATTCAAACAGACCAACAAGAAAAACGTTTTTTAGACAATCGGGGGAAAAAATAAATATGGCCTGGATACTAGATTGTATTAGTGAATAATTCTTAATTTTGTGCCATGTGATTAAGAATGTATTGTGGTTATGTTCTCCAGCGTCTTTATCGGTTAAAGATACACACTGGAGAGCGTACAGGGGACATGATACGAGGGCTGGAATCTGCTTTAAAATGTTCCAGGAAAAAGTAGAAAGAAGAAAAAAGTCGGAGAACTAGGTGTCACCCCAGTAGCTAGCTTGCTGGGCCAAACTAACCAGTGGTGGGTAGAGAGTTCCTCATCTGGCTTCCTCTTGTGTGTGTGTGTGTGTGTGTGTGTGTGTGTGTGTGTGTTCAAGTTTTAAAGAGAAATAGTAGACTTAATGGCATAAGTGGGAGAATTGAGGTGAGGGCGTAGCAAGGTGGTAGTCAAGCAGAGTACAGGCTCTCCTGCAGCAATGCCGTGCATACACAAAGAGCGATCCATGTGCCAGAGAGGGAGGAACACGTGTTTTTAGGCTCCACTGAGTACTTGGTGTATATAGTATCTCAATTTAATCTTAACCCTTAACCAGTCCCTTCCTTTCTCTTTCTTTTTTCTTTCTTTTTCTTTCTTCCTTCCTTCCTTTCATTCTCCCGCTCCCCTTTTAATTTATTGTAAATGAGGAGCAAAAGGCTCCCAAGACTTAATTTGCCCATGTACACATGGTAGTTAGTGGCCAGGATTTAAATAAAGGCCTGGGTGAAGCACTGGCTTATTTCCAGTACTCCGCATTGCTTATTACACAGGTGTGGAGACTGGGAACCAGCCCTGGGCCTCTAAAGAAAAGATTAGGAGGACAGATGAAGCAGTTAGCATCTGCAGGTGTGTAATGAAGGTGCAAAGGGGCAGAATGTAGAGGAATCAAATGGGAGTCCTGCACGGTGCCTGGTAGAGTAGATCCTAAATAAACAGGTGGTGACCGACCTCACAAGGCTGGCCAGGCTGCTGAATTTGGAGAGGAAATGAGAGAAAGCAGGCCGTGAGAAGGAAGTGAAATCTAGCCAGGTTCACTGCAGAAGAAGCAAAGGGAGCCAGAGCTGAGAAGCAGTCGCCAGAAGGCAGAGGAGTAGATGGCCACCTGCCCTCCGTGCACCTGCCAGGATCGCACGGACTGTCCTGGGGAGTCTTTCACTATGGTAGGGTGGGCTCCAGAGGGATGATCCAGGGAAAGGAACTTCAGGGAAAAAGAAGGGCGAGCCTGGGGAAAACGTCTCCTCCAGTGCTGCCCCCCGCTGACCCCAAGGTTCCTTCCCCGCTTCGCAGTCCACAGATGTTCCAAGAGGGATGGGCTGGTACAAGCAGGGCCCCAGCTCCCAGTTCAGCCCCATCCCACCAAGTTCCAGTCTGCAGCACCTGCATCTGAGCTGCCACAGACACTTTTCAGCCCAGCCCTGCTGCCAGAGATTTTTGGTTTGATGTAGTCGGCCTCCTTCTTTTTCTTAATGCAGCCAAGGATGCCTGTGAGGCCCAGATACTAAGGGAAGCAGCTTCTCTAACTCACTTGATTGCAACACTAGGTTCAGAGGCTTCTATTCTGGAGGCAACTGAGGCAAGAAATGAATGCAGTCAGGCGTGGTGTAACCCCAACATTTGGAGGCTGAGGCAGCAGGATCAAGAGTTCAAGGTCACCTGAGCTAGATAGTGAATTCCAAGCTGGCCTGTACTACAGAGCAAAACTCCGTCTCCAAAATTTAAAGGATCCAAAGATTTTATGCTTCTTTGCAGGATTTGGCTAAAAGAAACTAAATATTCAGACTTAGAATAACTTTTATCTAACTCCGCACTCCAGGACCAAAAGTCATCTGGAGCCAGAGCAAGGGCCTGACAGGTTGGGGCTGGCAGAGAGAAGGTGGCCTTGTGAAGGCTAAGCTTGCTAGTTTACTTTGACTTTAGAGCTTAACTTCTTAAAGTATGGTTCCTGGGCCAGCATCTGCAGTGTCACCTGGGAACTTCTTAGAAATGTAGAGTCACAGGCCCCACCTCAGGCCCAAAGAATCAGAATCTGCATTTTAACAGGCCTCCGAAGTGATCCCCCCCAACTCAGAACCTTGCATTTTCCAGGCAGGCATAGTGGCACTGAGCTGAATCCCCAGCCCTACAAAGTGATTCTTTCTTTTTTTTTTTTTCATTGTTTATTGGTACATTTAAGCAAATAATACAATTACATTTATCATTGAGATCTTGTACCTTTACATGACAGATCTTGGTTCTTGTCTTTTCCCCATACCCCTGTTCTCCCTTCACCCCCTTCACCCTTCCCTATTTACAAAGACTTTGTTTCCATTTTTTCACTTTTGGAGGGGTGGTACTGGGGATTGAACTCGGGTCCTTGCTCTTGTGAGGCAGATGCCAGAACGACTGAGCTAAATCCAAGGCCCTCTTTTTCATAGTTTTTTCTTTTCCCTTATTTCCTTTTCCCTCCCTTCCCACTTCCCCTTTAGCCATTTTCTTCCTGTTTCACACTCCCAATTATATCATTTGTACCTTATGTACATTTTTAGTTTTTCACACCAGAGAAACCATTCAATATTTACTCAAGTGTCCTATTTATTTCACTTGAGTATAGCCTCAATGTACATCTATTTAGCTATAAATGTTTCTAGTTTCTCATTCTTTATGGCTGAGTAGTACTCTATTTTATATCCAGTCTCCAGTTGATGGGCATTTGGGTTGTTTCCAAGTTTTAGTGATTACAAACTGTGCTGCTATAAACATAGGTGCACATATATCACTGTGGAATGATTCTTTTAATTCTTTTGGAAAAATTCCCAGCAGCAGGATAGCTGGGTCGAATGGAACCTCTAATCCTAGTTCTTTGAGGCATCTCCATATTGATTTCCACAGTGTTTGCACCAGTCTGCACTCCCACCAACAATGGAGAAGGGTTCCTTTCTCCCCACAGCTCCGCCAGCATTTGTTATTGGTTGATTTCTTGCTAGCAGCCACTCTTTCTGGGGTAAGGTGGAATCTCGGTGTTGTTTTCATCTGCCTCTCTTGAATGACCAGTGATGTTGAACATTTTTTCATATATTTATTTGCTGCTTTTACTTCTTTGTCTGAGAAATGTCTGTTCATTTCAGATGCCCATTTTTGAATCTGGTCTTTGTATTTGGGGGGGGCCTGATTTTTTTTTGAGTTCTTTATATATTCTAGATAATAGTCCTTTGTCTGAGGAGTAGCTGGTAAAAATTTTTTCCCCACATTGCAGGTTGTCTCTTAGCTCTATTGGTGATTTCTCTTGCACTGCAAAAACTTTTTAATATAATGAGATCCCAGTTGTTTATTCTTTGTGCAAGTTCTTATGCTGCTGCTGATTTGTTCATAAAGTCTTCTCCCATGCCAATATCTTCGAGAGTTCTACTTAATTTACTTTCCAGTAAGTTTAGTGTTTCTGTTTTGATATTTAGATATTTAAAGCACTTGGATTTTAGTTTAGTGCATGGTGAACGATAGGGATCTTTGGCACGTTGAAAGCCAGTTTTTCCAACACCATTTATTAAAGAGGCTATCTTTCCTCCAGTGAGGATGATTGTCTCCTTTGTGGAGGTTGAGGTAGCTTGAGTATGTCTGGTGTGGTTTCTGCATCTTCTAATCTATTCCATTGATCCTCAGGTCTGTTCCTTTGCCAATACCATTCTGTTTTTGTAGTATAGTTTCAAGTTGGAAATTGTGATATCCCCTGCCATGTCTCTGTTGCCTAGAATGGCTTTTGCTATTCTAGGTCTCTTCTGGTTCCAAATGAATTTTTGGGTTGTTTTCTCAAATTCTGTGAAATATACTGTTGGGATTTCAACTGGGATTGCATTGAATCTATATAGCAGTTTTGGAAGTATGGCCATTTTCACTATGTTGATTCTTCCTACCCAGGAGCAAGGGATGTCTTTCCACCTTCTTATATCCTCAAAATTATCTTCCATTATCAGTGGAGGATATGTCCCCAGATCCCTAGTAGATGCCAAAACCATAGATCATGCCAAACTTTGTATATAATCACTAGGCTTCCACAACAGACAATCTGATAACTGTGACAGCTAGGAAGTGACTAATGGCCAGGTAGTGGAGACATCTTGGATATGCTGGACAAAGGAATAGTATATGTCCTGCCTGGGATGAAGCAGGAAGATGCAAGATTTAATCATGCTACTCAATTTAAAACCTATGCATAGCTTATTTTGGGATTTTTCCATTTAATAGTTTAAACCAAAGCTTACTGTGATTAATTAAAACCACAGAAAGCAAAAGCCAAAGATAAGGAGAGACGACTGTGCCTACTCAATGGCCCTGTGTGGCTAGAAACCAGAGACCTAGAAATGAATGAAATACAGCTCCCTTTGGGAGCTCACATTCTAGACAGGAGATAAATGTACAAACAGTGCATGGTGTTTGGAACCCTGTTTGCAGAGGGTATGGGTGGGTAATAAGGTGACCCTGGTACTGCAGGAGTCTCTATAGTAAGGAGCCAGAGAGCATTGTCACCATTCACACAACTGACCTTCTTTCTAGACTGAAGCTCCAGTAAAAAGCTTGTATCATATTCTTCTGAATATGCTCTGGGCAGATGAGAATAGGTGAATGTCTAAATCACATCCAAGGAAGGGGCAGAAATTCCACCATCCTGACCTCAACCAGCCAGGATGTGAAGGAATTGACCCCGGGAGCCAGGCCCAGCGGCTCCCTGCATGGGCTGCTCCATTCCACTCCACAAGGGGTTGTCTCACATAGGTCAGAAGCTGCAAGGATCACAGAAAAGAACTAAAGCAGGGTCTCTAAAAGAAGAAAACATGTCTCCCTCATGAAACAATCAGGACAACAGAAGATAAAAACCTCATCAAGTCTAGAGATACCTAGGAAGATGAGAGCACTATTTCACCCTGATGAGACTTAAGCAGGGTCTCAAAGGAATGTTGTTTTGGGTAAGTAAGAAGGGAGAGGCATCCCTGGCAAAAATGCACCAAGGGCAAAGACTCCAAAACAAGAAAGATAAAGGTAAAGTACGTGGGCAGACAGCTGGTGTTATGAAAACAACGGGAGATGTAGATGGGCAATAAGATGACATCAGAACTCAGAAGGCCAGGAACTTACAACGCAGAATTCAGACAGGGGTCTTTGAAAGTTCCAGAATAGGTAATTCCCCATCATTTTCACCACCTGTGAAGTGAGAAAGGTCTTTGCTTTGTGAGAAAACTCTGAGTTCCCTTGTTTTTTGGTAAAGAAGAGATGTGAGAGTCTGGTTTTTATGGAAGTGGTCATGGATTGCCTGACCTCCCCTGAAGGAGGCTAGACCACATCTGCAAACTAGCTACACAGAATGTCAGTGGTCCTGAGAAACTTTCTTTATGCTTGGTAATTCAGTGCCAAGATGACCACCCAACTACCTACCAACCACCCAGAAAGAGCAAGCTAGATTTTTATCAAAGAAAATTGTCATTGTAGACATGTGAGAATTCCAACGTGTGTGTGTGTGTGTGTGTGTGTGTGTGTGTATGTGTGTGTAGTTGCAAAGTCAAGAAAAAGGGCTGGATGTCTTTTAAGGAAAGCTTATCTACTGGCCCCAGTAGACAGACTGGCCATTTGCAATTCTAATCATCAAATCCTGAGCTGCTAGATCCTACATTATTCATAAGTGGCACTAACCCCCTCTGCCCTTAGGGCTGCTTTCTCTTGACGAGGCCTGTGTGCTTCTGGAAACCTTGGACATGGGAGCAACTAGGATGCTAGGGATCCAAAATACTGCAAATTCAAGTAAGAAAACTGCTTACAAAAGAATCTTCAAGAAGAGATTCAGGATGTTCTCTTCAGCACACTTTCTGCCCCTCAGAATGTCATCACTCAGAGCTCCACAACACCCTTGCCCAAGCTCAGCTTATCTCTTCAGATAGGTAGAGAGATTTAGGTGTTTTGATTAAAGGGTTTTCTGCCTATAGAAATCAAAGTTAGTAAGAGATGGGGATGAATCAACAGAAGATATTGTCACCCACATTGAATGGCACAGACTGATTGGAATTACATAAAAAATAAAAGTCCAGTTTCTAAGTGGCAAGAGCTGAGAAGATGACTTAAACTAGTGAAAACACACTTAAAGGGATTGGAGACTCAGCCCAGGTACTAAGTCTAAACTATATTTTTTGACCACCTATTTATTTTTATCTAGTTATTTATTTGAGACAGATCTTGCTATGTAGTTTAGGCTGGCCATGAACTCGCAGTGATCCTCCTGCCTCAGCTTCCCAAATGCTGGGATTACAGGCTTGACTACTACCTCCTCCTCCTTCTTTTCTCCTCCTCCTCCTCCTCCTCCTCTTCCCCCCTCCCCCTACCCCTACCCCCCCTTCGCCTCTTTTAATGGGAGCAAAGGCTGCAGAGCAAGTTTGGACCAAGTAAAAGTAGAAAAAGAAGTATACCGTACAATGTGAGGGTAGGATACGTGCAAGAGAGAATACAGTGGGGCCAGGGATTTAGCTCAGTGGTTCTGCTGCCTGCCTCACAAGTGCAAGGACTGGAGTTCGATCTCCAGTACCAAAAAAAAAAAAAAAAAAAAAAAAAATGAAAAGAGAGTGAGAATGCAGTGGCTCCCAGTCATAAGAAAACAAAATCCTATGACTTTCTATTTTATGTAGACACAGACTCTGGTTTATGATGGTTTGACTTAAAGTTTCTGTATTTATGATGGTGCAAAAGTGATATGCATTTGGCAGAAACTATACATTGAGTTTTGAATTTTTGGTCTTTTCCAAGTCTAGTGATTTGTAGTAAGATTCTTTCCCAGAATGCTGGGCAGTGGCATTGAGCTTTAGCTTCCAGTCAGCCCAACAATCACAAGAATAAATAACCAATACTGGAGCCGGACATGATGGCACACGCCTGCAATCCCAGCACTCCAAAGGCTGAGGCAGGAGGATCACTGTGAGTTCAAGACCACCCTGGACTACATAGTGAATTCCAGGTCAGTCTTGACTACATAGTAAGACCCTGTCTCAAAAAACAAAATAATAATAATAATAACCAATACTGGGCTTTGCAGTTCTGCAGGTGTATTAAATGCATTTTCAGCTTACAATAATTTCAGAACGGAGGTAACCCCATTCAACTTGAAGAGAGTCTGTAGGAAAAACAGCCTCAAATAACCTAAGTAAAATTTGAAGAGTAGGAACTATGGCCAGAATTTGAACCAAGTCATCTGAAGCTGAAACCTATTCCCTACATTGTTCATCTTCTTGTCCCTGAATTTCATAGATGATCCTCTCTAGGAGGACATGAAAGAGAAAACAGGTTTTTCTTATAATCCCCTATAGGACTGTCTTGATTTTAGGCAAAATTAGAATTCTACAGATGGAGCTTCTACCCTCAACTTGAATTCATGACTACATATGAGAGGAAAGTTAGTGGGGAAGCAAGGCTGGGAGCGAGCTAGGTGTGCTCTTCCTCTTCCTCCTCCTCAGGCGCAATTCCTGAACCCAGAATGGAAGCCAGATTTTGAACCAATCAAACTAAAATTAGGGTATACCTACACTTCCACATCAAAGTGCCTTGTGAGGATTATGTGAGCCCACACCCCAGCTCTTATCCCAGTTATTCTCTTAGACCCAGGACAATAGATGTAAACTCGCCACCCATAGCCTATATAATCCTGTATTTTAAAGGCTATCCTCCAAAGCATGCAATATTTGAGGAATTGGAAAGGGGCTATGGAAAATGTTACACCATAGCCCAGGAATGAAGCCACTTCCTCTCTATGAATACATCAGCTATGAAGAATCCTTTCTTCTCCTCCTACCATGCTAACATGCGCCCCTGGTATGTCCTGGACAGGATATTTCCTTCAGTATGCATATTGACATAGTCCTTATTTAGAGGAAACAGGTGTCCCATGGCTAACCAAGAACATTCAGTGGCTCTTCTCCATGGCTACACAAGAACAATTGATAAAAGAAAGAATTTGTCAATCGCAGGCATGTTACAAGAGGGCCATGATGTTTGGAGAGCTTGAGAATCATTCCAAAATGAACTTGAGACTAGATCAGAAATCAGAGACCCAGCAAAGATCTCCTTTATCTGGGCCCTGAATGGCAAAGTAGGAAGAAAGGGATCCAGAGAATGACAAAAACCTGTGGTCATTAAGGAAAGGATGTCGGGTGTGGTGGCACACACCTGTAATCCCAGCACTCTTGGGAGGCTGAGGCAGGCAGATCGCTGTGAGTTCAAGACCAGCCTAAACTACATAGTGAGTTCTAGGTCAGTCTCAACTACATAGTGAGACCCTGTCTCAAAAAAAAAGGAAAGGAGAGCATGGCTACATCCAGGCTGATCCCTAGAAGCTAGAAGACAGAATGCAGAACTAAAGGATCTTTAAGATCAACCTTATCAAGTCTTATGATAATAACTAAAACATATAGGAAAGTCACATTTCAGACCAAAAGTTAAATCAGTGGCTGTCCACTTCAGCAACTTATGAGCATCACTTTTGAAAAAGACAGGCTGTCCCAGAAATTCCAAATCAGAAGGCCTATGGAAAAGCCAGCAAAGAGTCACCAGCACTGCAAAACCCAGCTGGAAGGAAGAAACACTGGGTTCAATCCCACTCTAACATGTTCATCCCCTACCCCTTTCCCAGGATAGAAACCAGCCCTAGCAATTTGCATCAGTGTGCAGCTCTCCCCCAGGAACCTCAGTTTTCCAGGAGTTTCACACTGCAAACTCTCCACGCAAACTCTACTTGCTCCACAGCCAGGTCATAAAAATGGACACTTTCCACATTAAAAATAAACCACATTTATTTAGAGATAATTTATCAAAAGAATCATTTGGCTTGGTTCCTCTTAGCAGTTCATCTACAAGCAAGTGTCCACATGGAGGGTCTGGTCTGATAGAGTGCTTGAGGCCACTCAAAGTGGCTGAGCCCATGTGGCCCCTGTGTTCATTTGGCCTGGTCCTCCACAGCTGTCCAGTCTTCCTGCCAGGCTCCAAACTTCCATCTTCCATTCCTTGACTGAAGCCAAGGATGGCTAGGAGGCAGACATCTGAAGTAACTGGCACAGTGGCTCAGGACACACACACAAGACAGAGTCCCTGCCATGGTAAGATGAAGGGAACTCTTCTTTCTTCTCAAAAAGCTTGGTCTATTTTGGGACTTTCCCAGCTTGTCTTTTTTCCAAGTGGGTTATTTGGATCTGATGTCAGAGAGGTTTGAACTGGGTGCTGTGAGCGAAGAGAAGAAAGACACAAGTACTTGTAAGACAAATACTTGTAAGAAGTAGTGTAAGGCAGATGTGGCTCACTGGCAGAGCACTTGCCTAGCATGGATTCAACCCTCAGCACCAAAAAAAAAGAGAGAGAGAAAGTTCAATAGCAATATCAGCTGCCGCTCACTCCTGTCATGTGCCTGGCTCAATACCAAATCTGACACACATCACCCTGGGGAGACAGGTGTTGTTATTCCCATTGTAAGGACAAGGAAGTAGAGGCTCACAGAGGCTAAGTTACCTGCCTCTAGGTTTCTATCTAGTTGCTACGTCACAGAGTCAGAATTTGGACCCAGGTCCAACTCCAAAGCCTGTGATCTTAACCACCATGTGCAGAGCCTTAGAAAGGGAACTCAGCATCATGCTGACCCTTGGCATCCATAAAGGCAGCTTGGTTCCAGGAACCCTATATGTGCTAAGACCCCTGGGTTCTCAAGTCCCTTATATAAAATGGTATAGCAGTTGCATGCAACCTGCACATATTCTGTATACTTGAAATCATCTCCAGATTACTGATCATACCTAATACAACGTGAATGCTATGCAAATAGGTGTTATCCTATATTGTCTAGGAATAATAGCAAAGGGAAAAATCCATACATGTGCTTTATAAATGCAGTATTTTTCCAAATAATTTCAATCTGTGGTTGGTCAAATCCATAGACACAGAATATGGCCCTGGATATGAGGGCCAATCATACATTCAAGTAAATTTAATAAAGTCAACAACAGAAACAGCAAAAATCAGAGGTTCCTACTCCTTGTGACTCCATCCATCAGAAATCACCTCTGTAACTGAGGTCTCAAGCAAGTGGCCCACATCACATATAACTTGTCACACAGTGTTGAAAAAACCTCGACTAGCCCCGATGACCTCTGAGTGGCCTAGGCCTGGATCTGTTCCAAAGGGACAGAGGTGCTGTTACATCACAAGCACCTGGCACTGCATGTGGGGAAGGGAGCTGTAGAGGACACTGTGACTCCCACACCACCTCCAACGCTGCTGGCACTCCCAGAAGTAGCCACACCAGCCATTCTGTAAGGATCAGAATGAGGCTGGCAGTTCTCTAGGGCATCATGCAGCAACAATGGGTAAAGGATGTAGGGGAAAATGACTCTATTCAACAAGAACTTCAGAGCAGGACTAATGTTTCACTTGGTGGATCGAGGCCAGGTCTCTGATCTTACACTTCCCTGGCAGACTTTCCCCTGCTGCAGTCAGCTGGGAGTCATGTGTCCCCTGTGCTGTACGGCAGGAACAAACACAGCCCATCATTCTATAAGCACAGGGCAGCCTTCCTGAGCCTAGAAGAACACTGCTCCTTCGTGGGCTGAGCACCTACAATTAGTCCACAATGAGCAGTGAGCTACTGCCAACTGACTCCTTTTGTCCATACCCCTACTCACTGTGTGGCCAGGTTCCTTTTGTGGATGCTGTACTTCCCTGGCAGACTACAGAAGTGTGAGCTAAGGAAGAATAGCAGTCAGATTCCATGCTATTCCACCTGCATGGCAATTAGATTATGTGAAAGAATTAATAAGGTACAGAATTAAAAAGCCTACTTTGACCCTTTAATAGAACAAAAAAACAGCCCTTTGCAGTGCAAGATTTGTCCAAGGATCCAAACATATTCTCTTTAATAGGCCTTGTGCTAACAAGGCAAAGACCTCTCCCTACTCCTAATGAAGCCCTATCTTCATCTTTTTCTAGTAATGACTTGAATCCTAAAGACTGGTTGTGAAGGCAAGTTTAATGATACTCTTCTATCCATCAAAGTTTAGTTTCTCCAATTTTCTTACCACTGAGGAAAACCTCAGCCGGAAGCAAAGAGCCTTTCCGGTTGAACTAGCCACACCCACCAAGCTTTCCCAGCTCCTTCTCCTGCCTCTAGATACCCAGCCCAGCTAGGGGTTCATCCTTACCATGGTCATGTAGGTGCTGTCTGGTTTTCCACTTGGTTCTTCTTCCCATGTAGTTATTGAGGAGTAAACATGTTTCTAGAGGAGGAGAAAAACCATACAAAGCCCCTAAAAACTAGGCAAATCTCATACACCAAGAAAAAGTCTGGCTTCCTACTCCCATTCATAGGCATCAGTCACCAAAACCAGTAAATTCAGAGGGTTACTGAGTGTTAGAGAATTATCATCAAAAATGGTCATTCAGTCTTCCATCTTCCTGAAATCAACTCAGCAGCAAAGATTACCAGCCGAAGAATCAAAAGCTGAATATCTTTGTTTCCATGGGCATTGAGTTAGCATCAGCGAACTCTTATCCTGCTAAATCACTTGTACCCTGTGGACATTTCCTTCTAGTTGGATTCATGGCATATTGGCATTAATTAGCAGCTAGTTACCATCCATTGGAAGGTTTATATAGCAGAGACAACCCTCGCTGAACCTCACATCTGTGAGGTTGGTGGCACTTTGTGATTCACAGTCCTGCCACTCTTTGGGAAAGCAATATCATCCAGTGACAAATTTGGAGGCTTCTAAGGAAACCTGCATGATGTTGGGGGTGGGAATTTTACTCTTGGGACAAAAACAGTTCAAAAGATAGAACGGATAGAAAAGATAGAACGGTAGCTATTCAAAAAGGAGGGTTTTTTTTTAAGTTAAAAAGAGAAAGGAAGAGATGGAGAGGGAGGAAAATTAATATATTTCCCAATCCCTATTTATAACTCCATTACAAATGAATCTGGAAGTTCTTCTTGATCAGCTCTTCCTAAAATTCCCTGAATGCTTCATTTTATCCATTTATTCCTCAACTAACCAAGGTATTGTAATTCTCCCTTGTATTTACTCACTGCCCCATGGATTATGAAGCACTTGCTATCTTCATTTTATTTGAGCTTTGTAACAATACAGAGAGACAGTCAGGGCAGATATTTCCCTCCTTATCTTCATTTTGCTGATGAGGCTCAGGGAGGTGGAGGAGCCTTCCTCATTCAAATCTAGCATCCTTTCTGGGACCCACTACCAGGATCTATTGCCCGGGATGGGCCTGGCCCAGCCCACCCTGCCCTACCACATTCATCGGGCCCTTATTGCAGCACTAAAGGCTTCCTGAGTCTCTGACCTATGAGCTGAGACTCACAAAAGGAAGCCCCAGATCCCAGGGAAGCAAGAAGGGTGCCACCCTGCATCTACCCAGTGCTCCCAGGGTAAGAGCGAAAGGCGGAGCTCTCTTACCTCCAGATCAGCCTTCTTCGTGTCCTCCAGAGTTTTCATCAAGGTTGTAGAACATCCCGACCTGCAAGGCATGAAAAGCACATGGAATTAACCAGCTGCCTGTGTTTATTTAAAGGTGCCTTAGGTGGGACCCACATGGCTTTGTGAAGAGAGAGTCCCCTGGGGAGGAGCTACTTCGCTTCTAAGGGAGAGCAAGAAGCTACTAGGCTGAAAAACAGCTTCAGCTTCTCTATGGTCACGCTAACAATTTTATGTCCATAGTAAAAGGTATAATTTTAAGTGACTGAATAGAGAGGGGACATGGGATTTGACTTTATCATCCTTCTTACATTTCTGAGGAGCAGGAAGAGGAGCTGAACCAATAGGGGGCAGCAAGACTCTAGTACCAAGGGCTCCTGGCCTCTCCCAGGCAGGGCTGTGCCCAATTATCCCAACTTTCACCCAGTGGCCCTTTGCCTTTGACTTGACCATTTGCCTTCTACATTTGCTACTAAATGCGCTTTCTTTCTTTTTTTTTTTTTTCTGTCTTGGCCCTTAAGGCAGAGATTTTTAAAAGAGAGTACAAGGAAAAGAAGGAAGGAAGGGAGAGAGGGAAGAAAGTCAGCTAGAAATAAACTTTTTTTTTTCAGTACTAGAGATCGAACCCAGGGCCTTCATGGTGAGTTACATCCCCAGAACTTTTTGTTCTTTAACTTTTAAATACGGTCTGGTTAAGTTGCCTAGGCTGGGCTCAAACTTATGATCCTCCTGCCTAAGCCTTCCAAACTATGGGATTATAAGTATGTGCCCTCACGTCCAGCAGAAACCATATATTTTTGTCTCAAAGTAGAAATATTATATTTTCGGATTGTAAAGTTGTATATCCTCACTGTAAAATAATCAAATAATACAGAGATGTAGAAAGTTGGAAGTTGAAGTTCCCAATAAGCACTTCACCCTCACAGGATCTGCCTTCCTTATCTTAAATATTATGTCACTATTAATAATTTAGGATTATCTGGGCCAGGGATTTAGCTCAGTGGTTCCGCCGCCTGCCTCACAAGCACAAGGTCCTGAGTTTGATCCCTGGTACAAAAAAAAAAAAAAAATTAGAATTATCCTTCCGAGCCTCTCTTAATGGCTTAAGCAAGCTCTCACAAGTGTTTAGCATATGCCCCTAAAGTAAGCATCACATTATTTTCTTTTTATAAAAATGAGGTCATACTATATATTCCATATCACTACCCCTTAGGTATCATTCCATGTCTTTCTATAGAGGCTTGTTAGTATCTCATTGAATGAAATACCCACTTATTGACTCATATCTTTCTGACAGACACTGGCAATGATTCAACTTTCTGATTATAGGTAAACATATTTATGTACACATCTCAGCATGGCAGTCTGATTATTTCTTTAAACTACTGGACGTGGAAATGCCACCCATCATTGTGAAGGAAACAGAGGCCCAGAGGAGGGGAAGTGAGCTGATAATGACATCCACATTGTCTAGCTCTGTGTTCTGTGCTCTTAGCATGCTCAGAGCAAAGACCCTCACAGAGGCCAACCAAGTTCAGGCCAAATCAGAGAGACCTGGGAACCAGAACTGCCAACCTAGCAGCCACAAGTGCTTTCTGTAGAATCTAGATTCCCTTGGGAAAGCTTACCCAAAATCAGTGTTGCAGGACTGACTCAGTGGGAGCTCAGTGGTGGAGTATTTGCCTAGCATGTGTGAGGCCCTGGGTTTGACTCCCGGTACCAAAAAAAAAAAAAAAAAAAAAAGTCAGCATTTCTTAGTTTCACAGGACCCTTTCCGATTAACATGATTTCAAAAAAATTTTTTTTTCACTTGTCAAACCAATATATTTCATCAATACTTGGGTAAACCAACTATTTGGGACTTGCCAACAGCCAAAGAAACTCTAGGACCTATGTCAGAGCATCTGAGCATTTCTGAGACCCTAAGAGAATGACTGATGAAATCAGTCCTTTAAAAACACTTCCCAATGATAATTCATGTGGAACCCTGTCCATTCAAAAAGATTCTCAGAACTAGAATGTAGTCCTTTAAATAAAACCACTGGCAACTCTCAATATCTGAACTTTATACATTATACAGTGTAGCTAATTTAAAAATCAGTTCTCCCAGGTAGTGAATGGTATTATCATTCCTGCATAAGATTTGTTCTTAATTATGCTCCACTTAGACCTCCATTTGTAAAGTTTATATAATACCAAAAGTGAATGAGGGCCATACAAGAATGGCCAAGTCTTTCCAGAGATATCATAAGCAAAAAGGGCAGAGCTACCTGCAGTGACATCTAATGTGATAACCAAAATGATTCCATTTAAAAATGCCCCAGTTAGGCAGTCTCCTCCACTTTGAGTTAGAGGTGGCCCCAGTCCTACACCCCCAGCCTCCCAGCCCAAGGGTGGGGCTGCCTGTACCTCTCATTCCTGTGGGTCTTCTTCACAATCAGTATCAAACCAATGAGCAACAGGAGAGTGATGCAGACAATCCCCACAATGATCACCACATGATTTCCTCCCAGGACCTCAGGTCTAGAGGTTGCTGGGATCACCAGTGTTCGGGAAAGGGGAAAAGAAATGGGAGAGTCTCAGTACTCCAGAAAAGAGCTGAGCATCACATCAGTTCTATGCCAAGTAGCAGTGGCCAAGTCAGGAAGCATAGGGAGAAGGCCAGACTCCAACCAATACTGGGATCAAGGCATCAGAATGAGGACCAAAGTCCCTCCATGTCCATCCCTAAAATATAGATGAAAGTGGGTGGGAACTCACCTACAGGAGAGTTCCCTTCTGCATTAACAATTTTATTTAAAATCTTGGTTTACCAAATGACCTAGAAAGAACAGGGATTTGGGGGAGGCGGGGTGTTGAGCTAGGGTCTCAATATGTAGTTGAGACTGAGCTAAAACTCACTATGTAGCCTAGGCTGGTCTCGAACTCACAGTGATCCTCCTGCCTCAGCCTCCCGAGGGCTGGGATTACAGGTGTGTGCCACCATGCCCGGCAATAACAGGGATTTTAAAGGTTGCTGAATTTTCTATGGGCAAGTGACTGTTTTCAAAAGAATACATGCCACAGCACTCACAATGCCCATGGGGCCTTCAATGTCACTTCTGCCTGCATGGCACTCTTCACTCATCTCCTCTAGTCACCCTATCACCGTTTTTTTTCCCCCAGTACGAGGGATTGAACTCAGAACCTTGCACTTGCAAGGCAGGCGTGGTGCCACTAAGCTAAATCCTCAGTAACTGAGCTAACTCCCCGCTCTAGTCATTCTAAATACATATTTCAAACACTTCCTCAGTGCCACGCGTCACTGCCACAGTGGATGCCAACAAAGACAAATGATGCATGGTCCCTGCCTTTAAGGAGGGAGACAAACATGGCAACAGAAAACCACTGGCTGCTACAAGTGCTACGGCAGATGTCTATATGGGGTACGCAGGGGCAGAGGGAAAAGGAAACCTGATTCTATGCAGGGAAAAGATGAAAATCTGCCACCAAAGGTACTACAATTTAATCTGAGTTTTGAAACATGAGACAACATGGGGAAAGGCAGAGGGGATGTCTGGAGGCCTGACAGGAGGGAGTGACAGGAACCAGAAATAGATCGGTAGGTGTGATGCAAAGGTGCGGTAAGGATTTGGCTGGAGAGATAATGTCAGGAAGGAACATGATCATCTCCAAAAGATCAGCTTTTTTCTGTAAACCCTGGAGAAACAGCTGCAAGACTAAAGCAGACTTGTGGTTTAGAAAGATAGCACTGTCTAAGAATGGTGAGAGGCCCACTGCCTGACAGAGGAAGACAGTTGTTAACTAAGGTGGTGATAAAGTCTGGAAGGAAGATGGCTGCAAAAGTCAGTAGATGAAATGCTGGGGCTTGTTGAACGGTAGAAACAACAGAAAGCAAGAGCCTAAGGAACCATGATGGGAGGTTCCTGAAGAGGAGGATAGCCTGACACCACAGCTCGGGGTGCCAGATAAAAGCAGGGCAGAAGGGAGCCCCACCTGCCTCAGAATGGTGGGTGGAGATAAGAATGGGGGTCTGTGGGTGAGGAACACTCAGAATTGAGTGAACTCCCACAACGGCTCTTCTCTGTGAAGTAGAGGCAAGACTCAGAGAGAAGCACAGAGACAGCGGTTCTCTAAGAAATCTATCTGTCCCACTTCCCTCCAGCTGGGGTCCTTTGCTATTAACAGATATCACCCCCCTAGATTGAACTCTCTGGCCTGAGGTATTGAGGTGGATTCCTTCGTACCCCAGCTACTCCCCTGCCTCCCCCAGCCAACCACAGACAACTGCTGAAGGCCCTGGTGAGAGACAAAGTCCACAGGCCACATCCTGACTGCTAACTTGCACGACGATTTAATTTTAACCCCTCACTTTGTCAACCACTCTCTGTCAACACAATTGAATCTTTATTCTCCTGTATATCACTGATCTTGATGTACATTTCTGGCCAAAATACAGAACCTTCAATCAGAAAACCCCTCCATTTTGGGTTCTGGTGCCATCCTGTTTTCTCTCTGTCCCTTGCTGTCCCTCACCCACTCAGGATCATTTTCCCTTCCACAACACGGTATACATTGAGTCCCATGGTGCCAAGTAAAAATGTCTGTGGGCCTAATTCTGACCAACTGTGAGCTCTTATATCATTATAGCAGTAGATCACACTGGCCCTGAGTAGGATCACAGAAGGGTCACCAAACAGTAACTCCCCTTCCCTCACCCAGCAGCAATGCCAGAAGCAGAGGGAGCAAGCTAGGCAGCTAAGAAGCCAGGCTAAAGGGCACATCACGCTTAGGGTGCTGCAAGCCCAACACTAGCACCTGAGAGGCATGCTTCCTGCCACTATGTGACCCAAGAATCCTTCTGGACTCACTCCAGGCAGGTCCTGGAACAGTTATAGCCCCTCAGCCCTTCCCAACCAAATACCAGACACTTACTTTGAGGCTTGTCTCGGATCACGTGCAGCTCAAGGGTTTTCCTGAACATTAGGCTGCCCAGGTAAATACGACAGGTGTAGTTTCCCTCGTCAGACTCCTTCACTCTCTGGAGCATGATGGCACCATCATTGAGGGTAATGTCCCCCACCAGGTTTACACGGTTCTGGAAGCGACCCTGATACTGGGGATACCTCATAGGCTTGTTATGGTTATAGAGTAAAACAACCTCCTCCTAGAAGAGAAAGGAAAAAAGCATGAGATTTCTAGGACTAGTAGGAAGGAGGTACCAGGAGAATGGGTAGGAAAATCCCAGGACTCACAAGACGCTGTTATACGAAAACAGGAAAAGTATTATCACAGACAGAATGGTGGATAACACAAAGTGTATAAGTATGTGTATCTGTGAAGGATATCACTAAACCATGAGCATTGTTCTAGCAGAAGATAGGGATTTTTTAAAAAGTGAGAATGAAGGTCTTTTAACCAGGTAGGGTGACACAGGCAGATAATCCCAGCTACTTGGGAGGCAGAAAGCAGGAGGATCACAAGTTGGAGACCAGGGTAGGCCTCTTAGGGAGACACTGTCACAAAATAAAATAAAAATTTAGGGCCAGGAATTTAGCTCAGTGGTACCGCCCACCTGCCTCGCAAGTGCAAGGTCCTGAGTTCAGTAAATAAAATAAAATAAAAATTTTAAAAGGGACCAGGGGCAGGGTGTGGTCAGGAGGAGAGCACATGCCTATATTTCTCTGGTGTATATAGACACAAAGGTGTACTTGTGTTCTGGCATTTCCAGTTGGATTTCCACAAGCGCTAGAAACATGTCTAAAATTGAACTCCTAATTGTTCCCCCAAGCTATTCCTTCCAGTCCACTGCAAATGGCAGTACCTTCTTCTAGATGCTTACGTTAAAATTATTTTGAATTCTCTTTCCCGAGCAACTCACATGTAATGGCCTCAGTAGATCCTGTCCCCTCTACCTTCAAACTACACCCTGAATCCAGCCACTTCTCACCTCTCGCATGCCACGATCCTGGTCCAGACCACCACCTCACCTCTCCCCTGGATTCCTCAAGGGAATCCTGTTTACTTATCTCCCTGTTTGCTTCTCACTACAATCTATACTCAGCAAATGAGCCTTTAAAAATGTAAACTACATCATGCTATACTTCTCTCCTCACAATCTTTCAATGGCCTCTTGTTTCCACTGAAAGCACAAGGTTCTACATGATCTGCCCTGGTCCGCTTTCACTCTCTGATTTTGTCTTTACTTGATCTTCCCTCACTAGCCCCAGTCATAAAGACCACCTTGCCACTCCTAAAGTCTTGGCCTCAGGGCCTTTGAACTTGCTACTCCCTTATGACTGAAATTCTCCCCCTTCCTCAGAAAAGCACATAGCTCCCTCCGCTCATTTCCTTCAGACCACTACTCAGACATCACATTGGTATGGCCTCCCTGACTACCTACATGAAACAACAACCACCAAACGCTGCTTTATGGTTCTCTACAGCTCTTACTGCTATTGGATATATTATACATTTATTTCTTCATTATTTTATTGTTTCTATCCTCCATCTTTATTATAAGTCCTCCATCAGGACAGGGGCTGTGACTGTTCATCACATAACAGATGCTTTAAAAAAAAAACAAAAAAACTTGTTGCCGGGCGTGGTGGCGCAGGCCTGTAATCCCAGCACTTGGGAGGTTGAGGCAGGAGGATCTCTGTGAGTTCGAGACCAGCCTGGGCTACATAGTGAGTTCCAGGTCAGTCTCAATGACATAGTGAGACCCTGTCTCAAAAAACCAAAAAAAAAAAAAAAAAAATTGTTAAGTAAATGAGTGCTAGAATTTTTTATGAATGTATGTAGATTTTTTTTAACACTCTTAAGAAAAGGTAATAGATATACATACATAAATGCAAACGGAGAGACCTGATCTCTGCTGTGAATCATTTGATGGATAATATTTAAATGCATGACGAGAGCTGGGTGTGGTGGCACGCACCTGTAATTCCATGTAGGAGGTTGATACAGGAAGATCACAAGTTCAAGCCCAGCCTGGGCAACTTGGTGACTTACCTGTCTCAAAATTTAAAAAATATATAAAAATTTTTTAAGGGTATTATGGCTTGTGTATAGATGCTCCCTGCCAAAGCCTCATGCCTTTTCAGAGGTGGTTGAATCTATAGTGTGTGATTCATGGGGGACTAGGCCCAAGGACACTAGGATTAAGGGCATGCGTGATGCCTGCCCTCAATAGTCTAAAAAGACAAAAGGAGCAGAAAGACACTGTTCAACTCTCCTGTTGCTTTTGCTGTCTTCCACCACCATAAACTGTTTGCCCCTCTGCCACAGTGCCTTGGAGCCAGCCGATTATGAACCGAAATCCTACAAACTGTGTTGGTTGTTGGGTATTTGTCTCAGCAGCAAGAGAAAAGCAACTAAGACAAAGGGCCAAGTGTAGCTCAGCATGAGGGTCCCGAGTTCAATCGCTAGTAGCAAAACAGAGCAAAAAATGACAAATTCTCAGTACCCTTGGGCTCACATATAATTCCCCATATTCTACCACGACACCATCTTCTCTGATCTACTCAAACAGTCTAGAGAACTAAGTGCAAATGATTTTTTTTTTCCAGAAGGATGGCCTGGAACACATTTTACTTTATAAGAGTGAAATCTTTTATGAACTTTGCACCTTAACTTTCGTTACTAAATTACCTAGAACATCCCTCACAATACACTTTGACCCATAAATGCGTCGCCTCATCATGGCTGAGACTACCAGTCTAGTAGGCTAACTTGCTGTCAACCACTTTACAGAGTTCCCATGAAATATGCCACCCCGATCCATCGGAATGGAACTATATTCTTATGCCTGGCCGTAGCTTTCCTATCTAGTCTACAAAAGTTATCCCCCCATTCTCTCATGGCCTCTGCAAAGAGGAGAAGAAGAAAAAAGGAAATCCAAATGCAACAGCTAAGTCGTGTACAAATAGCTTTTATACGTATGATTTTATAGCAGTGTCTTGACAATACTAAAGTTAATCCCCTTTCCTTCCTCCTTCCCCTTCTCCATCATTAGTCATGTACCCAGTAGGAGGGTTGAGATAGAAGACTGTGTCTGTCAGGCTCTGAAGTCCAAGCTCTTGCAAAAGTACCCACTTTGTGGTATCTGGTGACTGATTCTCCCTCCCCTGCCTCTGCCCTGCCACCAGCCAAGGGCTTCTATTACCCAGTGAGGTTTCTTTCTCTTTACCTTGGCATCCTGTCCTGAAGAGAACATCCAGTCTACCTTGGTCACACGTTTCTCTTCTGTGCTCTGGAAATGACATTTCATCAGAGCTGACTCACCCACGTGGACCATGAGCTCTAGGAATAAAATGGCAAACCAAGTCAGGCTAAAGTAAAATATATGGAAATCAAGACTTTCTAAAAGACAAAATGACTAGCCAAAGACCTTCAAGAACAAAAATTACTGGTACTACCTAGCACTGCACATAACCCCTAAATAAAATATCCAGATGATTCTATGAGAACAAAGTACTCAGAGGCTCTTCACTTAAACCAGCATGGCATCTCCAAGGTCAAGAAATACTCTCTGAGGCCGGGAATTTAGCTCAATAGTTCCACTGCTTGCTTCGCAAGCGCAAGGTCCTGAGTTCAATCCCCAGTACCAAAAAAGAACCAAGAAATATCTTCTAGGTGCCTAGAAATACCACATATGAAGTTTCTGTTCCTTCATACTGCAACAAATTCTTTGTAGTCCCCTTCAATTATTTTCTTTCTCCCCCTTTCCAGTATTCCTCCTATATGAACTTCAATCTCTACATCATTTGTATTACAGAAAATATGTTAAGTTTTGAAGCCCCTGCTCTCTAGTCATCAACCTAGATACCCACATCTGTATAGCATAAACAGGAAGTGGAAAGATACAAAACTCTCATTCTTATATTTAACCCACTGGTTCTCCTAACTGAAAATATGAATCATGGGCAATTTTCTTCAAATTATTCTTCTTACATGTTGTCTTAGGCCTTGTTTAAGACCTACTTCTGGCTTCAGTAAAGGTCACAGGACTTCTTGCTAATTAGGACCAGACAACAGACAGCTTTCTCCGCAATTTCTCTTACTGCTTTAATCCTATTCCCCCTCCCATGTGCCTCCCTTCCCCTGCTTCTGGCTCTCCAACTCCTGGGTCTCGCTCCTGCCTGCTGGTATAAACAGCTGCCCCCACCATGTTTACTGCAAAAATCATTCCAAAAGGTCCCTGAAAAGAAAACAAGTACAAGGACATTTCTGATTTTTCCGTAACACCCTGCACAAATCAATCACAAAGTTAATTGAGAGAGGAAAGGAGGGTGGGTATACAGGGAAACACAGCTTAAGTTTTAACCAGATAGAGTTCCTTAAATGCAGCACATAAGCCAATCTTCCATCAGAACGCTTTCCCTGGGAGAATATGAGATTCCTGCCCAGCAGATGTATACAATGGAAAGAAAGCCAAAAAAATCTAAACTCCAAAGTCAATGGAGGGAATTATTTTAAAAGCAATGAAAATTTGCTTCAAAGAATACTGGTAGGGAAAGAACCTCCATCTGAGCCCATCTATGCATAGGGAACTGAACTGTATTTTTAAATGCATTAATAATAACAGTATTCTGAGTATTTTTAATGCACCAAATATGTGCTGAACACTTTATATGTAGTTTTCAGTCATTAATATATATATGCATGTATATAATATGTATATACTTTTATTGGCAGGGATTAATGCATATGTGTGTATTAACTGCATATATATATACACCGTATGTGTGTGTGTGTATAATTTGATTGGGAGACATTAAACCTAGGACCTCACTCATGTTAGCTCTACCCCTAAACTACATCTAGCCCTAGCTATTACAACATTTTGAGGTATATACTATATCACGATCCCTTTTTACAGAGATCCCAAAGTCATATAGCCACTAAAAACAGAGCTAGCACACAACCCAAGGTCTGAGTGAAAACAAAGCCTAAATTCTCTCATGTACCATGTTGTATATAAATAGAAGAATGAACCAGACATGGTAGCACATGCCTATAATTCCAGCACTCTGAGGGGCTGAGGCAGGAGGTTTGAAAATTTGAGCCCAACCTGGACAATTTAGTCACTTAATGAAACCTTGGTTCAAACCCCAGTACTGAAAAAAAATAATAATAATAAATAGAAGTTTCCAGAGCATGAGAAAAAGTATTTCTAAAATCTATACTGTTTAAAATAAGTATAAAAGAAGTGAATAGTAGCATCATAGAAAAATTGCAAACTGAGGGCAAACTTTGTAGAGAAAATTATAAATGACTTTCTACATGCTTCCATAAAGCAATTATACAACTTTCCACACTGAGCCCAGAATTGTTAGGGGCTGGATCTGTTCCCACTCTGGCTGGAGAGGAAAAATAAATGCAAGTTCCCTAACAGGCACTGGGAAATTCTGAGTACTCCTGGTCTATTTCCATGGCTTCTTTAGCTGTTGACATTGTTTACCATTGGTTCCCTCTATGCCTCTCCTGAGCAAAGGGGATATCCATTTTGTAGGCTATGGTTGAACAGACAAGTGCTCAGGCATGGCATTAGGGCACAAAGGCATAAAAAGGAAGCAGAGAGAGAGAATCCTTGGCAAATACAAGCATCTGACTTGCTTCTTCTCATGGGAACCACAGCTTTGGACTTAAGAGGAAAAAAAAAAAGAGAAGAAACAGGGAAAATGAGGAGAGTTGCCAAAGGCTACCTGCTACAACTGCATTTCTTAGAAATCAGATTCAAGTGAACACGACTAACTAAAAAACTTCATTTATCATAAAGTTATATCGCTACTTACTCTGTACCAGGCACTATGCCCAGAGCTGATCAGAGACAAAAAGCACAGACCCAAGCAAGCAGAAGACACAGCTGAATGTGCGGTGAGTGCCACGAAGGAGGAAGGCAGGGTGCTTCAGAGGAGCTCCTTGGGAGAGCTGAGGGGCTAAGCACCTACGCGGGCTGTGGGGAGCAGTGCCCCAGATTCCAGCTCCCTAACTAGACAGCAAGCTTCCCTGAGAACAGAGACTATTCCTTCCGTTCCACACTAGAGAATGCATCTAACTCTAACATTCAAACATTTTTTACTTACATATTCTTGTTTGGAAACATTTACAGCAATACAGTAAACTTTAGAGACATTGGATGTTATTAGTTTGGATATCATTAAGTTATATAAAAGATATATGTGGAAATTGTTTGTAGGATGAAAGATTTCAGAACATTAGTGGAACGAGTAGCATCAGGTGATGCATCAGCGGCGATGTATTTCATTCCACCTAGAATTTTACCATCTCTAAATAAGAAATGATCCTTGTTAACTAAAATTACCCTTCATGTTCTAGGGCAGTGATGGCAAACCCTTTAGAGATCAAGTGCCCAAACTGTAACCCCAAACCCACTTATTTATTGTAGTGCCAACACAGCAATTAAACCCAAATACTAAGTTTTTAGTTTAGAAAAAAACAACTCATATATTAACATCTTTTGTCTTAAAAGAAAAACACAATATATGTGCCATAGGTTCACCATCACTGTTTTAGGGGAAGGATTTATCACCAACTTTCCTCCTCTTGGTTGACTCTCTCCACCCTTTGCTTCAGAGACCAGGCAGACAGCTAGCTCTCTTGTTTGCAATACTTGTCCTGAGGTTTTTGTGCAGTCAAATGCTCTACCCCTGAGCTACGCTCCCACTTCTGAGATTTTTCTGGAAGTATAATGCTTCCTTCTAGTTAAAATCACAGCTACGTTCCTTTCAACGAATACTTGGTCAAAGAGGAAGGAGCCAAGGCTACGTGTCACCATGACTCAGGCTCCCTCAGCTCATACTCTCGCTTTCAGACTGTTATAAAGCAGTAGAATCTTTTCTTCAAACAAAATCTGAACAAGGAGCCCAGTTAAACAACAGACAGGAAAACAGAAAAAAGAAAGGACTGGTGTTGCAATGGCAACGGAAGGCTGGGGTCCTATCTGAGTAGGTCTTCTACAGATTCCTACTCTGTTCCAGCATTTGGGGCTATTTGAGATTCCTTGGAGCTTAAAGTTTCTCAAAAGGGACAATTTTAAAACCACAGATATATTGGAGCTGCTTCCTCCATTTGAAAATGGGGAAATGAGGTACAAAGAAGTTAGAGGGATCTGTTGACATTTTTTTATAACCCAGACCATCTACCATAGGTACAATAATACATGAATATGGAACAATGTGGATAACTGATGAGAAGTACCAGAGTACAGTAAAAAAGAACTTAGAATTTGTTGGAGGTACCACAGTCTCACTACCAGCAAGCCACTGAATAAACATTTAGCCTCAATTAAGCCCCATCACCTCTCTAAGCCTCAATTACCTTCCTCTAAAAAATGGAAAGAACAGTATGTCTTTCACACTTTTTTTTTGAGAAGGAAATACATTTGTAACAGTAATTATTGTAATTTTTATTTAATAAAATAATCATCATTTATTGAAGACTCACCCTGTGGTGAGTACTCAGCACCAAGGCTGATTTGCTCAACAAACTCTCTGCCCCTGCCTCCTGCACACTGAATCTCTTGCCCCTTGGTTCCTCTCCTACCTCTGGGATCCTCTGGTAGCACATGCAGCACCATGGCTTTTTTAAACACCTTGCCCTCCTTTTCAGGGTAGATCTCACAGGTGTAGATTCCCCGATCAGCCTCTTGCACATCTTGGAGCAGCAGAGAACCATCACTGTGTGAGACATCCCCTACCAAGTGGGAACGGTTCTGAAAGCGCCCAATGGGCACGCTCATGTTGGCGTAATAGTATAACACGTATTCATCCTGGAGGGCAGCACAACAAAAGAGAAGCCAATCTGAGTCTGGATTCAAAAGGCCCAGTTAAGTGGAGGCAGCATAGTCATCCCCGTTATCATCATCATCATTATCGTCACAAAAATAATAATACCCAGTTCATAATAATCATATCCAGTTAATAACAATAATGTGCCAGGCAACTTTCTAGCCTGCACAAGGTGCTGTGACTCATTTTCTACAAAGACAAGTGGAGAAATTGGGTGTGTACATGTCTATTTCTTATAATTTAAGGAAAAACGTTACATCCACTCTGAAGATCACTCTGGGGATTCAAAAATCACAATTTGTAGAAATCATCTCTCATTTTCACCCAGTGTCTTGCCACGGCCGGCAGATTCGATGGCATTCAAATGCATGATCTAATCCCTCCAGCCTAGTGGGCTGGTGTTCCCGGAATGCACAGCCACTCCTCATCTCTGCCCTCCTCCAGCCAGCACATCATAACACAAAAGAAGGTGTCATCAACAGGAAATGGTTACAGACTGGGAGGGGCGAGCCCTGGGGAATTCTTATTTCTGCTTACACCATAGCCATCCCCTCATAATGGTAAGTAGCAACGAGAATTTGACTGACATTAGCATTACAGAGATACCAATAAATACGTTCTGAGCTACAAAAACAATATTTCATTTGTAAATGTTGGGATTTTATTGCTAGTAACAAACTACTCAGGACAGATTTCACAAATGATCCTGATATCCAAGTGTTTCCACAGAATCTCTGATAAGGCTTAATACTTTGGTTTCTTACTCTGAAGAGCTCCATGAGAGACGCTCACCCAGCCATGCTGCACCTGCTAATCCCAACATTTCAAGTAGATGCAAAGGAGAAAAGGATGATTCCCGGAGAAGCAGAATGTGGACAGAATCTTCTACCCTACTCGCAACACACAAAATAATGGTGGCATTGTTCTTCTGCCTACCTCCTTACTCTTCTGTCTAGACCACAGGAATTACCCCTCTCACCCACCTTCTCTTTTCTACAAAGGGCAAGAGATGAAAAAAATGGGAAGAACTTCATGCGCATGTCTTATATGGGCCGCTCGATTACCTGAAATGTAAGTGTTGCCATTATTATAATTACTTTTCAGGAAGTTGGAACTCAGTAAAGTTGGATAATAGTCTCTGCTGACTGCACAGCCAGGTGGTTGCTCCAGAAGGAGGCCCAGTTCTTACGCTCACTAAGCTCTTGAAAAACCATCTCATGGTACCCAAAGGCAGATTTTCCCTATACCCACCCCACTCTGACACCATTAGCCAACGGTTCTACTACACAGTGAAGTGTCCTTCTCATACCTTGACATGCTGTCCTGATGAGTGTATCCAGTCTACCTTGGTCACACTTTTTCCTTTGGTGCTCTGGATAACACATCCCAGCAGAGCTGAATCACCTACGTGGACTGTTAGCTCAGGGTAAAAAGCAGTCAAGTCATTGAGGCCCAAGGAATAATCTAAAGTAATCAAAGGCAAGAACACACAGCATTTAGACAAATACCCTCAACTGCAAAAAGCACTAAGTATTGTACACCTCCCCTTGATGATATGACATAGACCAAGCACTCAGAGGCCCCTCACTAAAACCAGCATGGCATCAATAAGGGTAGGAGAAATATCCTCTGATCATCTGTGAGGCTCAAGTTTGAAGAGTTCTGAAATCTTTATACTGCAGTAAGTGCTATTCAGTTTTGCTCCTTTCTCCTAGAGTCTCTTCCTCTTTCTGAGAGTTCCTCTTTCTAACTTTCTAAAGAAAGAAAGGAAACCCTGAAATCCTCCTTTCTGATTATCAACTGAGACACCCACATCCTCTTACCATAAACATGAAATGGAATGTTTCTTGTTCTTAGATTTTCCACTGGTTTCCTATCTGAATGGCCAACTCATCAGTATTTTTGGTTTTCTTCCTCTTCTCCCTCTCTTTAGATCCTTCACAAAAGTTTATGTTTGCATTTGCTGGCTGATTTTGGATGTAGTGCAAGTGCTCGTAGGTAGGTCAAAGCAGAGCACAGCCTTATTCCCTCTTTGTGTTTGCCCTTCCCCTGCCCCCCACCACGCCATTTTTGCCGCCGACCCTGGCTTTGCAGCCTTCAGGCTTTTGCACACATGGACCACCCCCTCCCACTATCTGAATGTTGCTCAAGGAATTTCAATAGTGAAAAAACCAAACCATTACACTAGATATTTCTGTTTTCATAAGATACACTCTGTGCAGAGAAAACAAAATCAAGAGAGACAAATTTAGAAGCTGCCCAATTCATATCAAAGAAGAGCCAAGAGAACACATATGGGAATGAACAGAATATGTGCCAGTCTTTTCATCCAAGCTGTTTCCCTGAGAGAAGAGAGCTAACTTCCTGCCCAACAGCAGGTTCACACAGTAGGGAGCACAGAAAAGAAAACATGAACTCCAAAACCTTTGCAGGGAGTTATTTTGAAAGAAATCAAAATTAGCTCCAACAACAACTTGGAATTTTCCAGAGGAAAATTTGAGCAGTTGTATGTTTGGCTGAAGGCACAAGTGAATTTCATTTAATATTAAGAACAATGCCTGTAAAAAATGAGAACCAAGACCTGCCATGCAAAGGTACAAGATCCCAATAATGAATGTAACTGTACTGTATACTAAAATGTACCAATAAACTCAATGAAGAAAAAAAAAAGAATAATGCCTGTAGAATAAAATGAAGGACTGTCAGGAAGCAATGACAGCAATCAAAGCAAAGAGAAACTGAGATCTGAACCTCTGAAGGATAATCTTGGCAGAGAAGTGGCTAAAGAATATGAGACATTCTACAGAGAAGGAAAACTTCTCCTTGAAGACATGATATGCCTGTAGAATAAAATGAAGGACTGTCAGGAAGCAATGACAGCAATCAAAGCAAAGAGAAACAGATCTGAAGCTCTGAAGGATAATCTTGGCACAGAAGTGGCTAAAGAATATGAGACATTCTACAGAGAAGGAAAACTTCTCCTTGAAGACATGCAAAACTCCATAGATGTTATATTGAAAACTTCCTGGATGGAAGGGCAAAACTCTGAAGGCTGCTTCACAGGTCTCTGTGGAATATTTAAACTTCCTCTGAGATAGCTACAACTGTGCTTCTGTGAAAAAAAATTTTCATGTGTGTGTGTGTGTGTGTGTGTGTATTAAATGTGTGCACATTCCATATTGCTGAACTTCAATTAATGGCAGCATATTTTTGTACTTTCCTGAGTCAGTGTTTAGTTCATTGTCCACAGTTCCAAAAATAACAGTAAAAAGAAAAATAAAAGGCTATGAGAACAAAGCACTTAATTAATTTCTTCTTCTAGCAGAGCTGTATCCGTGGAGTAAGGAGAAAGACAGGGAGAAAAGGAGAATTTTAAAAATTAGAAAGAAGTGGTGGGCCGGGGATTTATCTCAGTGGTGCGGCCATCTGCCTTGCAAGCACAAGGTCCTAAGTTCGATCCCCAGTACCAAAAAAAAAAAAAAAAGAAAGAAAGAAGTGGTGATGAGACGCAGGAAGCAGCCCTGAGCACGTGCACAAGGTACATATGCAGGAGACTCCAACCTGATCTGAGAAGACCAGAGTAGACTTTACAGAAGAAAGTAGAGCCTCAGAGATCTCCTCAGAGGAGATGAAGCGAGGGACTGAAGGGAGGGAAGCAGGGAAGGTTCCAGGCAAAGGAAACCACCACAAATTAGGAAAGAGCTCAGTGCACAAGAGAACTAGCAAGGCTAAAGCATGAAAGCAGTAAAGGGATTCTGGGCCTATCTTTGGTAATATAGCTCCAGATCTGAGAGTAGCTGTGATTTTAAAGGCAACAATTTCAAGTGCAGGAATGCCATGGAGGAAGCTCTCTTAAAGCACACAAGAAAGTCGGTAAGGATCTGAAGATATTCTGTGTCTGACAGAAACAGAGAAAGTTTCCCCTCTCCAAGTAAGTGGGCATCTGCTTCTGAAACACCATCAAGTTACAGGTTATGTCTCCATCCTCCACAAACCAAAGGGAACTGAAAATACATAAAGCTGCCTTTTAAAAATGCATGAGACTTATGAGAAATGAAGAAATGAAATACAATTCTCCAAGCCTTATCTTCCACTTACCCAGTAACACTGGCATCAGGATGAACGTCAGTGGACAAAACATGCTGCTCAAAACTTTTCAATCTTAAAAGGAAAAAAAATGAGAAAAATCATATAAATAGGACTTCGTTCACTTAACATGCCAATATGGTGCCTGTGGGCCAGCCTGTCCAAGGTGCTGGGACACGGCCCGGCACCTGAAGGACAAGGTTCCAGCTCCACCAAAGTGTACTGCGGGGAGGATGGGCAAAAATAAGCAAATGAATGAATCAGAAAATACCAGATGCCGATAAGTGTTACAATGAAACAAAACACAGTGATGTTTACAAAATCACTGGGGGGCTGCTTTAGATTGGTCATAGGGGCAGATTACATGAGAGTTGCTTTTCAAGAGAAAAAGAAAAACAAAGGATTGTAGGATGCTCTTGAGATGACAACCACAGAGATTCCACAACCTTGAGTGTTTCACACAAACATAAAGTCAGAAGATACTCAGCCTGACACTTTTACCTACCTTTCCAACTAAATCAAAATTGTTTTTTTTTTTTTAAACGTATGAAGAAAGTTCAGCCCATGTGGGAGAAGAGATTAAAAATAAGGGGAAATTTTAAACTCAGTTAAGTATCATCCAAACTTAGGACAAAAGGAAGCCAAATGAAAGGCTGATGGTGACCCCCCGCTTTTTTTTTACTTTGTCAAGGCAGAGCAGTGTGGGTAGAATTGAAAATTGGGCAAAAGTCTTTCTCCAACATCTGTGTTGTCACGTGGTATTAATTTCACTGCATTCATCAGCTTCTGAAAAGGGACTCATTGTTCTACCCAAGGCCCCAGTTTTATTTGCTGAACAGTAGATTTTTTTTTGGTTTTGTTTTTTTTTTTTTTTTGGTTTTTTGAGACAGGGTCTCACTATGTAGTCGAGACTGACCTGAAACTCACTATGTAGCCCAGGCTGATCTCGAACTCACAGCGATCCTCCTGTCTCAGCCTCCCAAGGCTGGGATTACAGGCGTGAGCCACCACGCCCGGCTGAACAGTAGAATCTTAACACCAAGGAGTTACAATTCAACCAGGCTTGTGTTCTCACTACTGTGCCTGACCTCAGCCATCCTACACTCCTAGCCACTCTGCTGCTAGAGAAACTCCACTTCAAAATTAACTAAGAGGAAAGACCTCTGTAGTCCATTAACAGCAAGTTACTTCACCTGGCTGTGCTGGCACATCTGTCACATATGATGACTATTTTCACTTGTAAAACGTGATTGCCTAAGAGATTCCTTACCTCTGTCATAATCAACAAAGACCTCCACCTGGAAAATCAGGTCAACCTGTTCAAGAAATTTCCTTCCCCAGATCCCACGTGACCTTACTGGACCTCAGCTTGCTCTCCTAGAACAGCAATAATGACACAAAGATCAAATCTGGAAATGTGGATAACAGTGCTTTGGAAATACAGAAAGTATTACCATAGAAGACCCTATTGTCTATAACCCAAGAGTCTGAAAGAAAACAGTTTGTAGCATTAGGGAAGAGTCCAGAGGCTGAGTTTTAACCTGCATAAGAACGGCAAATGATCAATCAGAATGAACTGGAAGCTTAAGTTTCCATTTTGAACCTCACTGTAACAAGATGGACTGAAATTAACCTGACCCATATATACCAGGAGCTCCCCAAGCAGAAGCACCTCTCCTGAAAACAGATTTCTCAAGCTAGTTGAAACTCTGTTCCTACTCCAAGGGTGCGCTGCCATCACACATACGTGGATGAGGGTCACAAAGGGCTTCCTTTATTGCGTGCCCTAACTTTAGTTTTTCACATCCAGATATTTGAAATCCCTGTTGCCTTCAGGAAGAACCCTTCTCCCAGGGAGCTGGTTGTGCTCCCTCCTCTGCCCAGCAAACAGTACTCAGCACTTAAACATTCTCCAGCACCAGACCATTCACATAAAGGAGTAAAGGTTGACTGACATATTTCTCACCCACTCCTACTCTGGTCTGTATTAATAAGGGAGAACCATAGCTACTTGTTTGTATCTGTGCCCCATTCCTGGGAAGCAAGACCTACAAAGTGCTTGACACACACTGGATAGATACTTACAGCTGCCAGCACGTCTATTACAGTGAAATGAGCTTCAAGGTATCCTGCAACCCTGCCTCAGGAGAAAGGCAGTGACTCAAAGTGAATGAATCTAGTCACCAAGCCCACTAAACCCAGCTATCTCAGAGCCACACCCAGACGCTTTCAAACATATTCTAGGAAAGGTGCAAACAATCTGATGAATAGAAATGGGCATTTCTAGCCCTTGCATCATGAAAGCCCTGCATTAATGGAAAAGTAATGATTTTAGCAAAAACAGCGTTGAATTGGACTTTTAAAAATATTATTTTCCGGGCTCAGACCTTCCACTAGCCCTTTGATCTCTGGGAGGATCACTCCATCTCCTTGGTCTTCATATGTCCACATCACCCACTAATGTTGTAGCCATCACTAAGTATACGCCATTAAGTGTGCACGATATGAAATAACCTCATGATACGTTTCTTAAAATATATCATACTCCAGGTAAGTGACACATACACCAGGCGTGGTGGCACGTGCCTGTAACCCTAGCACTCGGGAGGCTGAGGCAGTAGGATCACCATGAGTTTGCGGCCAGCCTAGAATACACAGTGAGGAGTGGAACACGGCCAACCTGAACCATATACCAACACCCTATCTCCAAAAGAAAAAAGTGACACATATATACATATACGTGAGTATAAAACTTTCTGAATATTTCTCAACTAACTAGGAAATTTGAACTTGACTCAAGTGTCCTTGGTAAACATCCAAGGTATCATGAACTTGGCTGACAAGTAGTGACTAAGTATTTCCATGCACTTTGCATGATTCTGGGACTTCTATTGTACACTGTTGTTGACTGAAATGTCATTTGGTGCATGACCATGTATATTTTGTTCTACATTTATAACATACTGAATACAAAAATTACAAATTTCATATATGTGATATATATAAAGTGAATCTCAGTTTTTAAATATCCAAGCATTTAAAAGCACCTTAAGCCCTGGTAATGTAGCACAGTGGTGCTGCCACCTGCCTCACAAGTGGCAAGGCCCCGAGTTTGATCCCCAGTACCGAAAAAAAAAAAAATCAAAAGCACGTTCAGCACCTTGGTAACAGACACCATTTAAACTCTCAACCCCACCCTGCTTTCTTTTCTTTCCAAAATAATTTATATCCTCATCAGATATTTTTGAGATAATTCTGCATAGTAAATTATCTCATATATTGGCCAAGCATTTTGACTTAAGCTTATAACCCTTTTACAAGATAGGTTTTTTTGTTGTTGTTTTTTTGTTTTGTTTTGCTTTGGTACCAGGGCTCGAACTCAGGCCCTTGCACTTGTGAGGCAGGCACCAGAACCACTGAGCTAAATCCCTGGCCCCATGGCCCTTTTACAATATAACAACTCTTGACAAAAATCTATTACTCTTGAGGTATGGGTGTAATATCAAGATCTCCTTTCCTATTATTAATAGTGTAGGGTGGTGGTGGCAAACTACGGCATTTGTGCCACAACAGGCTGTTTGTATCATTGAGAGCTCTAAAGGCTTCACCACCACTGGTGTAGGGGAATTAATATCATTGCCATAATAAAAAGCTTTCTGAAGAGAGATTCTCAATGAGACAACCACACAGGAGGCAAAAATAACCCCTAAATATTACAATAGTATGATATTTCATGACAAAATGAAGGAGAGGCGCTCTCAAATTGTTTGCCCCTAGTAAGGACAATTGACCACCAGCTACCGAGAAAACAGCTACACACTGCCTTCCCTCTCTTGTGCCCACTCCCCATGACACTAAGTCAAATCGGCCTCCCTCCATATTCCTACATACCTCTGGGTGTTAGATGTTTATAAGCGCACAAGTCCACATAACGACCCTGAAAAATGGACCTCTCAAAATGTGCCTCATTTCCCTTAAGTCTATGCAACACAGCCTGGAAGGTTGCATGGCTTCTGTAACACAAACTACGTTACCTCACCCAATTTTCTACTTGAATTATATCATCATGTTCTCTGTTTCCTGCAGCAGTCCAGAATATATCTAAACCAGGCTGCATCAATCTTTCTTAGTGTATGACTAAGGCCAATAGCCTAGCTGTCTGGGTCGATCTGAGTTCCTGCCTCCAGAAGTTTAAATATTGGCTTGACTAGAATGAAAGGAAAACAACCATGTTGGAAAGAGTCCTGCCATACTCCCAAGGATAGCCACTCACATGGTTCTTCCTAAAGCAACTTAAAAGCTGAAGCCTCATTATCTTCTCATTTGCTTTTCTTATCCCCCTAACTTGAAGTGCTGGGGATTAAACCCAGGGTTTTGCACATACTAGGCAAGTGCTCTGTCACTGAGCTACACCCTAGCCCTTTGTTTATTCTTTTATCACAAACAAGTCTTATTTCTCCTTTCTCTGAGGATCATAACATAAATTACACTACAGAAACTAAAATCCACTCAATTGGTCTTCCTTACAACAGTCACCCTGAAGAAAATGAGACTTCTGCCACTGGCTTCTCATTCTAAAAGGTTGGCAAATAAGCCAACCTTTCTCTGAGTAAGAACCAGTCTTCTTCTAAGAAAAGTTCAAAAAATGCTCGTGAAATACAAAACCATGGCTTACCCAGGACGAAGGCACTCTGGAGAAGCAATGCACCAAGATCTCCTGCAACTGTTTCCACACTCAACTGAAGATCTTCTATCAGCACACTGCGTCAGCCTCAAAGCAACCACATGCATGTGTACATTCGTGCCTTTGGAGGTAGCTGCAGAGACACAAACAGGAACCACTAAATCGAGGTTCTTGTTTCAGCCATCTGGCCCATTACTCAATTTTTGTTTATGTTTTCATTTCATTAAAAACAAAGTGCTGTGATAGCATCCAAAAAAATTAAATACCTAGGAATCAATCTAATGAAGGAATTAAAAGACCTCTACATTGAAAACTACAAAAAATGAGAACCAAGACCTGTCATGTAGAGGTACAAGATCCCAACAATGAATGTAACTGTACTGTATCCCTAAAATGTACCAATAAACTCAATCAAAGCTGGGGGGAAAAAAAGAAAACTACAGTATTCTGAAAAAGGAGATTGAAGAGGATATCAGAAAATAGAAAGATAATTCCTTGTTCTTGGATAGAAAGAACCAATAAAGTGAAAATGGCCATACTCCCAAAATTGTTATACAGATTCAATGCTAACCCAATCAAAATTCCAACAACATATCTCACAGAATTAGAAAAAACAATCCTAAAATTTATTTGGAACCAGAAGAAACCTAGAATAGCAAAGACAATTCTGGGCAATAAAGGCAAAACGGGGTATCATAATCCCTGACGTTAAATTATACTATAAAGTTATGGTGATAAAAACAGCATGGTACTGGCAAAAGAACAGACCTAAGGATCAATGGAACAGATTGGAGGATGCAGAAACAACTCCAGAAATATTCAACCATCTTATCTTTGACAAAGGAGCCAAACACCCTCACTGGAAGAAAGAGCCTCTTTACTAACTGGTGCTAGAAAAACTGGCTTTCCACATGCCAAAGATTGAAATAAGACCCATATCTTTCACCACACACTAAACTAAATCTGCTTTAAATCTGAAATGAATCAAAGATCTAAATGTTAAAACAGAAACACTGAACCTGCTGGAAGGGAGACTAGGAAGAACAGTTGAGGACATATGAGTAGGCAAAGACTTCATGGACAAAACCCAGACCACATGGGAAATACGACATGGAATCAACAACTCAGACCTCATTTGTGTTGTTTTGTTTTTGCAGTACTGGAAATCGAACTCAGGACCTTGTGCTTGTGAGGTAGGTGCAGCACCACTGAGATAAATCCCCAGCCCTTGGACCTCATCTTATTAAAAAGCTTTTGTAGGCCATGGATTTAGCTCAGTGATTCTATCACCTGTGTCTCACAAGTGCATAGGACCTGAGTTTGATCCCCAGTACCAAAAAACAACAGCAACAAAAAAAACCCAAACAAACAAGAAGTTTTTACATAGCAAGAGAAACCACCAACAAAGTGAAGAGACAACCCACAGAGTGGGAAAAAAATTTTTTACCAGCTAATCAGTTAAAGGTCTAGTATCTAGACTGACTATATGAAGAACTTAAAAAATCAGACCTCCCAAAATTAAAGACCGGATAAAAAAATGGGCATTTGAAATGGAAAGACATTTCTTAGCTGAAGAATTAGAAAAGGCAAATAAATATATGAAAAAATGTTCAATATCACTGGTCATTTGTGAAATCCAAATTAAAACAAGGCTGAAATTCCATCTCACTCCAGAAAGAATGGCTGCTCTCAAGAATCAACAAATAACAAATGCTGGAGGGGGCGGCATGCTCACCCTGGAAATGGTTGCCGCCCGGAGGCGCTGAGAGGCCCCAGACCAGAAGATGGTCCTGGGGTCCCGGGATGTCCTCCCCCAGGGATAGGACCTGACAGCCACCTCACGAGGGGTCCTGAAGTGACAGACACTGGAAGATCAAGGCTAGCCAGGCGTGGTGGCGCACGCCTGTAATCCCAACATTCAGGAGGGTGAGGCAGGAGGATCACTGTGAGTTCGAGACCAGCCTGGGCTACACAGTGAGTTCCAGGTCAGTCTCAACTACATAGTGAGACCCTGTGTCAAAAAACAAAAAACAAAAACAACCCAGTGTGGAGCCATCTATAATGCAATTGCATAGAAAAAAAAACTGGCAATGGGAATTAAATGCAGCATTAGTCTTATTTCCCACGCACTGACAATAAATTTTTTTAAATAAAAATAAATAAATAAATAAAGCAGTGTGGAGCACTGGGTAGCTCTAGTCCAACTTGACTGATTTCGTGTCCAGTGATCCTTGAGTGACCAAGATCCTGCTCCAAGGAACCAGCTAGAAGCTGCCCATTGTGACATTTAGGGTTAGTGCCTCAGCATACTTACTTATTCCACTGTAAGCTATCTAAATTTTATGAAATTTGGTTTTTCAACTGTTTTACAAAAATTATTTAGGTAATGTTGTATGTTGGGTTTTTATGTGTTAATCTAACCGTAGTGATATTTTTTACAACATGTTTTATCCATTCCTAAATAACAACCACATTGGGAATAGTGAAAAAAAAATGTTGGAGGGACTTTGGGGGAAAAGGAACCCTTCTCCACTGTTGGTGGGACTGTAGACTGGCGCAACCACTGTGGAAATCAGTGTGGAAGATTTCTCAAGAAACTAAAACTAGAGGCTTCATTTGACTCGGTTACTCCTCTTCTTGGTATTTTCCCAAAATAACTAAAAGCACCAGTGGCTTTGTCCACTGCTGTCCTCCTGAGTCTGGGCTCATCTACCTGCTCCCGTCTCCCCCAGGCCACTGTCCTCTAGAGACAAAGCACCATGCTTTCAATTAGGTTGCAGAGTTCTGATGGAGAGATATTTGAAGTTGATGTTGAAATTCCCAGTCTGTGACCATCAAGACCACATTGGAAAATTTGGGAATAGATGATGAAGGAGATGATGACCCAGTTTCTCTACCAAGAGTCAATGCAGCAAATTTTAGCCGGGCATGGTGGCACACACCTGTAATCCCAGCACTCGGGAGGCTGAGGCAGAAAGATCGCTGGGAGTTCGAGACCAGCCTGGGCTACACAGTGAGTTCCAGAGCAGTCTGAACTACATAGTGAGACCCTGTCTCAAAACAGCAACAACAACAACAACAAAAAAGAGTCAATGCAGCAAATTTTAAAAGAAAAAAAAATATTTTAAAAGGTCATTCAGTGGTGCACCCACCACAGGGATGACCCTCTTCCACCTGAGGATGAGAACAAAGAAAAGCGAACAGATGATATCCCTGTTTGGGACCAAGAATTCCTGAAAGTTGACCAAGGATTCCTTTTTGAACTTATTCCAACAACAAATTACCTAGACGTCAAAGGTTTGCTTGATGTTACATGCAAGACTGTTGCCAATACGATCAAGAGGAAAACTCCTGAGGAGATTCCAAAGACCTTCAATATCAAAAACGACTTACTGAAGAGGAGGAAGCCCAGGTACACAAGGAGAACCAGTGGTGTGAAGAGAAGTGAAATATTGTGCCTAAAACTAAATTAAGACACTAAAAGGATTGTTCCAAATACTAGTTGCACTGCTCTGTTTATAATTGTTATTAGACAAACAGAAGAGAAATGCAGCAGCAGATCAATTGTACTAGCATAATACTGCTCTCGTTGCATGCGTAGTTTCAGTACAGATTCCAAAGCAACGGCTGAATTTCTTCTAGTCTGAGCAAATATTCTGAATAAAATGGAACTTTGGGTTCTCTGTAGAAAGATGACATTTTGAGCTTTCCCTCTTTTTCTAAAGTGATTTCTGCCTAGTTTATTGTCCAGTTGATGTTAGTGAGCTTTTAAAAGTTGCCACTGTAAATAAAACAACTTGCAAAACGTTTTCTGAAATAGAATGAACAAAATATTATCTTTATTCAGAAGTTAGAAACTGGAAAAAGGCTACTTGAAGTAACTGTTCCAAGTGGGGTTATTTAGGATGTCTTCCAGCCTCCAGAGTCAAGCAGTATTGTTGTACCAAGCCAGCAAGGACACCAAATACTGGGACACTGATAAGACTAGAGTAAGTTTATTTCACACGTGCGGACTCCACCCTCTAAGAGAAGTGAAGCCCCGTTACAAGATTGTGCCTAGGTTTTACAGGATTTTTCTGCACAAAAAAGTTCAAACATAGGTCAGGGCTTTCTCACAACTGCAAGGGAGAGAAACTCCAGACACCTTTACTTTTCTTACACTTGTCTTACAGGGGTAGTGTTTTATGGTCACCTTTAGCATCCCACCTGTTCCTGGGCAGGCTTGTTAACTGTGCAATTAGCGCAAGAAGGTTTTTGCAGTTTAAGCAGTTTTTCCTGATGTTTGATAAGGGGAGGGGTACACAACAGTCTCTGGGGTCATACGCCAGCCAACATGGAGTCACTTTAGCTCAGTCAATCTCACAGTATCACTGGTATAGATAGGCCTATATGTAGCAGGGCTCCCTTAGTTGAACCTGAGGTCTTATTTTATGTTTTTAAAGTTTTCATCTTCTCAGCTTCAAGAATGTCGCCTAGAGACTCAGTAACTACCAAGTTTGTGGTCTGGGGGAGAAATGTAACTAGATAGTTTGTTAGCTTTTCAATTAAAGGCAACACAAAAGAAAAGCATCATATCATGGTGATATATGCACACCCATGTTTATAGCAACATAGTTTGTAATAGCCAAATTTTGGAAACAGCTCAAATGCCCATCAACAGACCAATGAATAAAGATGTGTTTTTTTAATACAATGGAGTACTACTAACCTGCAATAAAGAAGGATGAGCTTCAGACATTTATAGCTAAATGGATGGACCTTGAGACCATACTCTTTTTGTTTTGTTTTGTTTTGTTTTGTTTTTGTTTTTGAGACAGGGTCTCACTACGTAGTTGAGACTGACCTGGAACTCACTATGTAGGCTAGTCTCGCACTCACAGAGATTCTCCTACCTCAGCCTCCTGAGTGCTGGGATTACAGATGTGCGTGCGCCACCACGCCCAGTGAGACCATACTCTTAAGTGAAATAAATTGGACACAAATGTTTAAATACTGCATTGGTTCTCTCCTGTGAGAAACTGAAAGTGGAACTAAGGACTGAAATGTATAATGGATGTTGGGAAATGGGAAGAAAGTGTTCAAATGGAAAGGGGAACAAGGGAGGAGGGAGGGAGAGAGGAAGGGACAAGAAAAAGAATAGAAGGAAAAATGGAAACAAACCTTCTATACATAGGGCGGGAGAGGGCTTGAGAGGGGAACGGGATAAAATAAAATA